ACAAATGTGCTCCGCCACCCATTTGGAACGAGAATAGCCCAGGGATGATGCAGAAGAGGGCCTGGAGCTAAGCGTTTCGGGCAGTTTTTCTGCCTCGTCCAGAGAGCTATTCATAACTGCTGCGGTAGAGGAACAGTACAAGAAGCAAGGAGGCTGCGACGGCCGAGCTTTCAAGGCAAGGTCGAGAAGGTTTCGCACCCCAGCGATGTTGTCTTTCTCAAAGCTCCGCAGTTTGAGACGGAAGTTGACAGTCCATGCAACATGAACAATCAAAGTCGCCTTCCTCGCGAGATGGTCGTATATCTTATCGTCTAGTCCCAGATTCTCTTCGCCTAGTTGTGCTGGTACTACTTTGATCTTGGTATTCGGGGCATCAGGGGGGCCCAGGTCAATCAGACTGCGCTGCTGCAGCGCTTTGTTCACGCGTCCTCTCGCTGCTGTCTCATCCGCTCCTCTGACAAGACAGTATACTGCGGTGACCGTGGGTTTCTTCTGTAGTAAACTTAGAATATGCGCACCCAGCGCTCCAGTGGCCCCAGTCAGCACTACAGTATCACCGCCTTGGTTCTCCTCGGGCAGTCCATTGGCAGACACATCCGAGGCTGGCCTTTCAAACGAGCCATACCGCTCTACCATGTCTAACATAAGTTTCTCTTCGTCTTCCCCTCCCACCTCACGTTCTCCACGTCTCTTTCGCAACACATAGTCTGTCAGTCGCCGAATCGAACCGCAATCCTCTACCACACTCATTGGTAGCTGTCCCTCGATGTTCGGGATCAACCGTCTTAAACGCGTTCTTAATTGCATACACGCAATGGAATCAACACCATAAGAGAACAGGTCCATATCCTCTGTGAGCTGTCCAGATTGTCCCGTCAGACTCTGAATCAGATCTGTCAAGTGCTGAGGCAGATCTTCATCGGTCACCTGAGGGACAGTATCGGAATCCTGCGCGATATATGCCTGATTGATGACGTCTTGGAATCGTTCTTCTGCAGACCTTCGAATTATAGTGCCCTTGCTACTTTTCTCAAGCGGTTGGTCTTGGTAGGGAATAGGAATCAACATGTCGAAGGGTATTCGGGCATGGTCTTGGCTTTCGCTGTTCAATCTCGCCACTTGCTCCCTTATGGAGTTGAGCAATTCGTCGTCTGTCATCTCACTCGCCTGTTTCGAGCGCAGGAGCAGTGCACCTGGAAATGGCCGGCCGTTGCCAAAGATGAGGACGTCATCTAGATCAGGCGATGTTGTAAGAGCATCCTCAAGTGGAGCCGGATCGAATTTCTTTCCCGTAATGAGAGTAAGTTGGGAATCCGCTCGTGAATGATACAACCAAGCGTCCTTTATTGTAGGATGCGGCGCAAACAGATCGGCCGTAGCGAATGATCCGTCAGGTCGATTCTGCTTTGCCTGCGTAGAGATTAGCAACTAGCCACATATTATGTATAGAGTTGTAGGCGATACCATGTGTGGCCACCCAGGTTTAATGACAAGTTCAGCCAGACCGTCCTGGCGCTCTTCAAACTCTACCAGTTTTGGTGGGTTGTAGTTTCTCAAATACTGCCAATCCTGATCTACAAAGGACTCACGATACGATGACAGGATAAAGCCACATTCTGCGCTTCCAAACCGTGAAATGAGATTGACCTTTTTCCTGACAAGACGATCACCAACCTCAGTTGGCAAGGCTGCACCCCCAACGCCTACAATATCCATTTCTTGGAGCCACTCGAGTCCTCGCTCATCAGCCTCCATCATCTGAAGCACATATGGGACCGATGAGAAGTACTTGACCTTGGGAAGCCCTTCTGTCTTTGCGTATGCTTTGGCTACATGCAGACAACTACAAATGTTGCGTGCTGTAATGGGCACCTCTTTGCCTGGGAAAAGCCAAATCAAGGCATTACTTGTCCAGCATCTAAACAAATCGGCGATTCCGCCATGGTAGAGTGGCGTCGTAGTAAACGAAGCTACAGTCGGTATCTTGGGGAGATGCGGAAGCACGCCAATGGCTGCGCGATGTGATTGAGGGATGGGTTTTGGGAGGCCAGACGAGGTTCCAGAAGTGTGATGCAGATATGCAACTGCTCCCTGATCGACATGCAGTGGTTCAATGCTAGGCTTGAATTGCTCTTGAATAACCTGCCAGATGTCTTCCGAAGCACTTATTGGTAGTAACTTTGTTTCCAAAGTAGGCAGTCCTTGCTCTCTTGCTAGTTCCTCCGACTGATCCGCTCGCTCAGCATGGGCCTCGTCGTAAACGAGAAGTGACACCTGACACGAGGTACAAAGATGCAATATTGCAGCCGGCTGACATTGGGGGGCTACGAGTAAGACGGCATGTCCCAGTTGGATCAAGGCTAGCCAAGTGAAGAGGAATTCAGGAGAGCTATGGCACAGTAGAGCAACAGTCTGTGGTTCTCGTGAGGGGCCAAGAGCAATTGCGAGGCGTGAGGCGAAGACACCAACAGCATGCTCGACGTCTGCAAAGGTGAGAACCTTGAAACTCCACTCTTGTTGATCTAGTTTGGGGATAGGGAAGCCAACGGCAGGGAGTAAGGGGTGGTTCTGGGATTGCTGACGGATGTAATCGCTAATGTTTCGGTACGACTTCGGGCTGGTGTTTAGGGCAGCCGCCTGGCCCAGGGTGCAGACAAAGTAGTTGTTTTGCATTTGGAGAAAAAATGGCGGCTAATAGGCGGAGAGGTGATTGTGGATGATCACAGTGTCGATGCGCCAACATGAGAGTACATGGGAATGTGTGCAAACCTACACCAGTTTGAAGTGAATAGCAGACCAAGTTTGAGTCGTGACATCATCTCGGCCGGGGAGGCAGGAGCGACTCTGCAGCCGGTGCTTATGGGGGAAAGCCGCTATGAGCAGTTGGCAGAATACGAGCGCCAGATATAGCGGGGTGCAGTCAAAGGGTAGAATTCGAAAGCTAGGGAACAGACTGTTGGATGCAAAAACAAACAGCAGTGCACTGTGTGAGGGACTGCAACGCCGCATAGCGGTGGTGGTGATGATGATGATGGGGTGTGTGCACGGGCCATATGTTCGACGAGCTGTCAGCGGTGGCCGTGTACTGGTGCCAATTTTTTCCATTGGTTGTTTTTGTTGCACCCTAAGGTACAGCCTAGAGTACTGCTACAGCCGAAAGAAGGGATGGCTGCTTTGACTGAGGTCGGGTTCGTAGGGATTCGGCTGCGTGGAGCACAGAGGCCGCACCCGTGCCATCAGTCCACATGGGCTTATCTCACACGACAGGCGTGAGGCGATTCCTCGTGCGGGCATGGCCGTTGTTTGCTGGCAAAGATATCGAAAACCGGGTGGCTGGCGCATCGGCAGAAGTGAGGGGAGATGGAGTGCCGTAGCGCCACGATCCAGCCACGTAACCGGCTGGCGAGGAGTGCATGCGTCACCAGAGACTACTACGGTTCTGGGGGGAATGCTATACAGCCGCATCCAATGGCTGCATGCGGACGCGCACTGTCACTGCCACAGCCCACGGTCACCGCCTCGGGGTTGCGTGTGCTACGGCTGGATGTGCAGGAATGGGCATGGAGGCACATGCAAGTTCCTTATCTGGACGGGTGGCATTCGTCGTGCTGGGTGCAGTGCTTGGCAGAGAGGATGCGCAGCGTGTGGAGATGAACGCTCAGCCGGTGTAGGGCGACATGGCCATGGCTCGACAACAGCAACAGCAACAGCAACAATAACAAAACAGCATGCGTCGTTGATGGGCAATCTGGGGCGGGGCGTGTGATTGGGCGGGTGGGACGCGCAGTGCATCCTTCTTCTGCGCGGGCCGAGGGAGGATGTGCAAGCGACCCAGCAAGCACAAGGGCGGGCAATACGCTATTCATGCTAAGCCTGTTCGGCGCCAACTGCTTCAGGCGACGTCGGCCCACCCAGGTAGGCAAGTAACAGCAGCGTTACGGGCAAGCCCGCCCAGCCATGCATCCCGCCTGTGGCTTGGTGCTGTGCCTGCCCGTCTCTCTGCTGCCATTCCCGGCCGCCCAAGGTGAAACGGCGCACCGTCTGGCCTGACTCGGCCTGGCAGGCGTCCCGCTTGTTTTTTCATTTTTCGCAGTGTGCGGGTGTGGTGCAGGCGTGGAGCTCGGATGTGTCAGTGATAGATGGGGTTTGCCCAGCGGATGCAGAGCACGGCCACGGTGCAGGGATGCAGCGCGCCATTGATTCTCCGTCCCCAACCAAGCAGCGCAACGCACCTGGGCCGGCGCGGCATGGCACCGTCAGATGGATGCTCCTTGGGGCCTTGGGAGCGTCAGTAGCTACTTACTTGACAGTGGCAGACACGCACGGCTGGGCGGCGTCGCCTTGGTCCAGCCTGCAGGCGCATATCCGAAGCGTGGCGGGTTTGGCGACTGGCGACACCTGAAACCAACGCCGCCGTGCAGTGTAGTACATACGTCGTCACCTCGCCCGACGCGCAAAACCGCCGTCTGCCTCATGGCCGGGGCACTGGCTACGAAGCTAAGTAGTGTACAACGGACAGCGGCGGAGCTGCGAGGGCGCCGGCAGCCGGCAGGGCCCCAATGCCCCGTGTGGTGTGCGTGTATATACTAAATGAGCAATTTCCTGGCGCGCAAAAGGGCAACTGGCAAAAGATGCCCAGGTCGACTTTCCGCCGCGTCTGAGCGTATCTTGAAAACAATGGCCCTAGCTTGTAGTAGGCAAGCACGGCCGACTAGCCGTCTTCCTCCAGCCCGTGCGTTGGAGCATATATTCCTGCTCCCCCCAGCAACAACACCCGCCGCCTCTGTTATCCGTTCCACCAGACCAGCATCATACATCCCGCTGTAAGTGTCCTCCCTGTCGCCACCCCGCCTCCACCAACACGGCCTGCCCACACTACCTGCGCAATTGCTGCTGCACACTGCCTCCCCGTCCGCCTCTACTCACTCCTGTCCCGCTGCCGGCCATCCGCTGACGCCGCTCAATCCCAGGCATTGATACTCTTGCTCCCATCTGCAAAAATGCGCTCCTCCACCTTCATCGCCGCCGCCTCGGCTCTTGCCGGCCTCGTGTCCGCGCAAAACAGCACCTTCAACACCCCCATCCAGTGCTGCACCGTTCCTGCCAGCTCGATCGACCAGGACGACAGGCAGTCATGGTGCCAAGCCAACCAAAACACCTGTGTTGAGCTTTGCGGCGGTCCCGGCGCGCTTGCCAGCAACGGCAACCAGTGCGATTCTGTATGTCGCGTGTCCCCCCATGCGCGTACCGAATGCTAACACGCGCCCAGACCACTCTCGATTACTCTTGCAAGTGCCGCAACGGTACCGATGTCACCAGCGTCATGGACCAGTACCAGCAGACTGTGCCCGGCCAGATGTGCCTTGTCTGGTACAGCAACTGTATCTCTGCCTCTGGCACTGACGCGACTTCTCAATTCGAGTGCGAACAGGCTCGCAACAGCCTGTGCGGCAACAAGACCGTCGAGCAGGCTAGCGAAGCCGGTGGCGCTGCTTCCGGATCCGCGTCCGCCTCGTCGGGCCCTTCTGCCACCAGCAGCGGCTCGTCCGCCCCGACTGGAGCTTCCGCGTCTGCCAGCGCTGCCTCCCACACCCCTACCACCGGCGCTGCTGCCAACCTTGCCTTGTACAGCACCACTGCTCTTGCCGGTGGCCTCTTCGCCCTCTTCGGAATGGCCTTGTAAATCAACAACACGACACTAAAAGGGTCGCGGGCCGGTCCCTGTTGGACGGTGCCGAGATGGCCTTGCGTTACTGCTATCAGCATAACCATGTGGGGGACATTCGCTGAAGAAGGCTCATCTTCGTTAGCGTGTTAGCGTTGGCGTTTTATGGCTTTGGCTGTTTATCTTTGTGCATTTTCTTGTTCATCACTGCTGATGGTGGTTGCGGTCGCTCGGAGGATACTTAATGCGATGTTATGAAGCAACACACGAACTTGTAATACCCAATACTACCAATACTGCTACTTTTACAATTGTGCCCCATGCGGCGCCCCATGTTGCATTTGTGCTCTCGTATGTTGTTTGCTGATGCTTGTCGTCGGGACTTTGTTGTTAATCGGTTGTCTATGCTCAAACGCAATTGGCCGTCGGCCATGCATATTCTGCTGATCAGCAAACGCCGCAGGTCCGATGCTGCAGATCCCATGACGCAAAGCTACCGAATTTCTCTCTAGCCCGTCGACATCCGTATCCGTTTAAGCAGATCCATTACCCACGCTCGACGACTTGTTGCCAAGTCCAGTTCCACTGCCAAAAACGCCCTGACCGCCAGCCCTGGGACTTGGGCCATAGCAATTGAAGCTTTCGGCAACGCCGCATCACAAGCTGCCGAGGTCAGTCTGCCTCTTATCGCCCCAGCTCGTATGCTGTTGTGATATTTAAGCTGCTGTGGGGCTGAAAACTTGTCTCTTTCTTCATACTGACTGTGCAAACACATCATAGGAACCCGCAAAAGTGGCTCTTTGCAAATTTGGGAAACCATTATCGCTTGCCTCGCCCTTGTCTCTCTACGTCACCCCTCGTCGTCTGCAAATCCCATATAAACGCACAGTCGTGCCAGATAGCCTCTTGCACAACCACCATCTGCACCAAGTGAGGCACGAATACACAAAAATGGCATCCCTCGGTGTTGGTCGCAAGCACAAAGTCACGGTGGTCGGCTCCGGCAACTGGTACGTATATAGCATGTGGAAGTGCTTAGCAGCTGTGCTTTGAAGCTATGCAAGATGGGTTTCCAGCGGTGGGCATTAACTGACTGATGGTATAGGGGTACCACCATGGCTAAACTAGTCGCCGAGAACGTCAAGGAGCACCCCTCTCTGTTTGAAGAAACAGTGCAGATGTGGGTGTTTGAGGAGGAGTACACAATCCCAAAGGATTCGCGTCACTACAGCGGCTCGGATCAGCCTGAAAAGCTTTCCCAGCTCATCAACAGGGTCCATGAGAACGTCAAGTACCTCCCAAACATCACGCTCCCGTCCAACGTCATTGCCAATCCCGATCTCCCCGCCTCGTGCAAGGATTCCACGATACTCATCTTTGTGCTGCCCCATCAATTCATCGCGCGTTCATGCCAGCAACTGGTCGGAAAGATCCTCCCCTATGCGCGAGCCATCTGCTGCACAAAGGGTGTGGATGTCAGCGAGAAGGGCATTCGGTTGATGTCGGAGACGATTGGCATGACGCTCAACATCTACTGCGGTGCTTTGTCGGGTGCGAACATTGCATCTGAGATTGCCCAGGAGAAGTATTCTGAGACTACCGTGGCATACGACCCGCCACCGCTAGACTCGCGCCATCCCACCCCAAGCGGCTCACCCAACGCTTCTCAGGTTGACCTCACTACTCACGTCGACCTGATTGACCCTAGCAAGTCGAAGCCCAGCAAGCGCTCTGCGCATCTGACTGCTCTGCCCAACGAGTACCCGCCTCTGTCACACGAAAACGTCCGCAAGCTCTTCCACCGTCCCTATTTCCATGTACATATTGTCAACGACGTCGCGGGTGTCTCGCTCGGTGGAGCTCTGAAGAACATCATCGCTCTTGCAGCGGGTTTTGTGGACGGTCTGGGATGGGGTGACAACGCCAAAGCCGCTGTCATGCGTGTTGGTATCCTGGAAATGGTCAGGTTTGGCAAGGCCTTTTTCGGAGAGAGCGCACGCACCAGCACATTCACTGAGGAAAGCTGCGGTGTAGCTGATGTTGTGACATCGTGCATGGGTGGACGAAACTTTCGTTGCGCAAAGATGGCTGTCCAGCGCGGCAAGCCTATTGATGAGATTGAGCAGACGGAGCTTAATGGGCAGAAGCTGCAGGGTACCAGCACTGCTTACGAGGTCAATGAGTTCCTGAAGGCCCAGGGCATGGAGGACGACTTTCCCCTGTTCACCGCCGTCTACAACATTCTCGAGGGCAAGAACAAGCCCGAGGATATCCCTCAGCTCATCGAGAAGAAGCCGTAAACTGGACAAGATTTCGATTAGGAGGATGATAGCCGAAGCCAACACGTACAACCCGATGATTACATTCAGATGCGAATACCCCTTACGGTAGAATATTATCTCTATTGCATGATTTTGATTATAAATCACATGGGTGCGATTCTCGGTGAGCTGCTCACGGCAATGCACGTGTGCCTGATTACTTTGCAGCGGACGTTTTCCAAAGCAGAATGCCAAGTTGATAGGCATGCATACTTACTTATAGGCGACACGGAGATACAACCGAGCAACATGCTGTCGCCGGTACACCTACGGGGTGTCGGACTTAAGACAACGCTGTAACTAGTCTTGGCAAGATCGACATCCTAGGCTTAGTCCGCAGATGGATCGTTCCATGCCAGGATGCATGCAAGTCCATGTATGCATATGTGTGTACTGCAGAGTACTCTAGAAACACCGGCTCGGAACTACATGGAGGGGTACCGTACATCCTAGATTTCGAGCTTACAGCCGTCATGCCAGGTCAGGTACATTTGTCAGTTTTACCACTCGGCCCACATTACATGGGTGGAGAGTGGCTCGCGTCTACTCCAAATATGCAGGGACACCTTCCTTAGTGGGGAACATTCAGTATTCTTTTTGCCTACAGCGGTGAGATGAATTAGTAATGCAAGAAAAAGTTGGGCCTCAAACGTTTGGATTGCGTGCGAGGTGGGTGAGAAGAGTGGGTGAACCTCGCAATTTAGCTCCTCGGCAAGGCACGTTAATCATTGAGCCAATCTGCGCATGACGACATGGCTTGCTTATCTCCGTTGCCTCTTGCTGTGTAATGCGGAAATTTTTGGCCTGAGATGCCCAGGTTGGGCATATAGCCGCTTTGGTCAACATTGCTCCTGCAGTGTACTTATGACCACGCCCCCAAGCCGTCACTTTAGCGACATCATTGCAACCCTTTTTTTTGCCTTCATTTGAGCAAGCGGTTTGATACCCAATTCCCTTCGTTACAGGCCTCAAAATGTGGGGATCTTCAATTCCACCCTCGGAACGAGACAATCGTCGCAACCCATGGCATGACGATGATTATCTTCGCAGTGGGAGGGAAGAAACAGTGACTCCTGGTAGTCAGAGCGACGAGAGCCCCGATAGTGATCGTCTCGAGCGAGCGGGAACATGGGGCGAACGCGACGCCGGAAAGCTCGACTCAAAAACTGCAGCAGAAGATCTCGAGGTGCTCCGAGGAGAACTTGCCTCATTGTCCAAGTCACGATCCCGCGGAGCCCAATCGCATCAATCAGATGCTTTGTCTCGGACTGTTAGTAGGATCAGTACTCGACAAACCCAACGTCGAGGATCGGGTTCCCACGCCGAGGAAGGCACAGGCGACGTGGAGGCCGACAAGCCTGGTGACATTGGAGACGCCCTTGGTAGTGAAAAGGAAGATGATTTCGAACTTGGTCAATTCATGCGTGAAGGGCACTTTGAGAAGCGCAAGAATGGTCAATCAGCCAAAAAGGTTGGCGTTGTCTACAAAAACCTCACAGTCAAGGGCATAGGATCTACCGCCTCTTTTGCAAAAACCTTGCCCGATGCTATCCTAGGAACCTTTGGTCCGGACCTTTACCGCATTGTGACCAACCTGTTTCCAGCACTTAGGTTTGGAAAGAACAAGCATATGCGGACGTTGATTCATGACTTCTCTGGCGTCGTCAAGGACGGAGAGATGATGCTGGTCCTAGGACGACCTGGATCTGGCTGTTCAACTTTTCTCAAGGTCATTGCTAACAACCGCGAGAGCTATGCTGCTGTCGAAGGCGAGGTGTCGTATGGCGGCATACCCGCCGACAAGCAGAAGAAGCAGTTTAGGGGCGAAGTCAACTACAACCCAGAAGACGACTCCCACATGGCTGACCTGAATGTGTGGCAGACACTCAAGTTTGCCCTCACTAACAAGACCAAGAAGCATGAGAAGCATGAGATTCCCATTATACTTGAAGCTCTCCTCAAGGTTTTTGGTATATCCCACACAAAGTATACAAAGGTGGGAGACGAGTACGTTCGAGGAGTCAGTGGAGGTGAGCGGAAGCGTGTCTCTATCGCAGAGACTCTTGCAACCAAGAGCACGGTCAACTGCTGGGATAACAGTACTAGGGGTCTCGATGCAAGTACTGCTCTTGACTATGCCAAGTCGTTGCGTATCATGACCGACATGAGTAATCGCACAACGCTAGTCACTTTGTACCAAGCAGGCGAAGGCATCTACGAGCTGATGGACAAAGTCATGGTCATTGACGCTGGTCGATGCATCTACCAGGGTCCAGCGCGTGCTGCAAAGCAGTACTTCATAGACCTTGGCTTCAAGTGTCCGGAGCGCCAAACCACGGCCGATTTCTTAACAGCAGTCACCGACCCCACTGAGCGGCAGTTCCGGCCTGGCTTCGAGGACAAGGCACCCAAAACGCCAGAGGAGCTCGAAAAAGCATATCGCGAGAGTGAGGCATACAAGAGTGTACTCAGGGAGATACAGGAATATGAAGAAGAGCTAGAGCGAAGCGGATATACGGATGCCAAAGAGTTCGAGGGAGCCGTCCGTGAGAGCAAGAGCAAGACTGTACGCAAGAAATCACCCTTCACCGTCTCCTTCGTCCGCCAGGTCATCGCTTGTACCCAGCGAGAATTCTGGCTAACCTGGGGCGACAAGACGACGCTCTACACCAAGTTCTTCATAATCATCTCTAACAGTTTCATCGTCGGGTCGCTGTTCTACGGCCAAGCTATGGATACCTCTGGTGCCTTTACCCGTGGCGGTTCTGGCTTCTTTTCCATTCTCTTCCTCGGCTGGCTCCAGCTGTCTGAGCTTATGAAAGCAGTATCCGGACGCGACGTTGTCAAACGACACGAGGACTACGCTTTTTACCGACCTAGTGCCGTGGTCATCGCTCGTGTCGTGCAAGATTTTCCCCTGTTGCTCGCACAGGTTATCCCGTTCTCGATCATCATGTATTTCATGAACGGTCTCGACGCCGATGTTTCCAAGTTCTTCATCTACTTTCTCTTCATTTACACCACCACGTTCTGCATTACCGCGCTGTACCGCATGTTTGCTGCTTTATCCCCGACTATTGATGATGCAGTGAGATTTGCTGGTCTCGCACTCAATCTCCTCATCATCTACACTGGCTATGCTATTCCCAAGACGCAGCTGCTGGGCAAGTACATTTGGTTCGGATGGTTATACTGGGTCAACCCGGTCGGTTACTCCTTTGAAGCTGTCCTCACTAATGAGTTCTCTGACCGGACGATGGAGTGTGCTCCCAGCCAACTGGTGCCTCAGGGTCCCGGCGTTGACCCTGCTTTCCAAGGATGCAGCTTGACGGGCGCAACACCAAACTCGAGATCAGTATCCGGTGCGGACTATCTCGAGGCGTCGTTCAACTACTCACGGGCAAATCTTTGGCGCAATTTTGGCGTTGTGGTAGCCTTTGCTGTGCTGTATATCTTGGTGACAGTGATTGCCACTGAGACGATTTCCTTTGCAAAGTCTGGCGGGGGTGCGCTGATCTTTGCAAAGACTAGGCGTGCAAAGAAGGTTGTCAAAGAAGATGGCCCTGCGGATGAAGAGAAGGTGGTGTCTGGTGAGTCGGTGTCGAGCTCCAACACCACGGCCCACGAGGAAGAGGCACTCGATGCCATTTCAAGCAGCGAAAGTGTCTTTACCTGGAAAGATGTAGAATATACCGTTCCATACCAAGGAGGAGAGCGCAAACTTCTCAACAAAGTCAACGCATATGCGAAGCCTGGTGTCATGATTGCGCTCGTTGGTGCCTCGGGTGCGGGCAAGTCGACTTTGCTCAACACCCTTTCGCAGCGACAGACAACTGGAGTGGTATCTGGAGAGTTTCTTGTCGATGGCCGGGATCTGGGGAAAGCATTCCAACGCGGAACTGGCTTCTGCGAGCAAATGGATCTTCACGATGGCACGGCCACGATTCGCGAGGCCCTCGAGTTCTCTGCTCTCTTGCGACAGGACAGGAAGACGCCCCGGAAAGAGAAACTGGACTACGTCGATAAGATTATCGAACTCCTCGAACTCGAGGATATCCAAGATGCGCTAATCGAGAGCCTGGGCGTCGAGCAGAAGAAGCGTCTAACCATTGGTGTCGAGCTTGCCGCAAAGCCCTCACTCTTGCTTTTCCTCGACGAGCCAACAAGTGGTCTCGACAGTAACTCTGCATATTCCATTGTCCAATTCCTAAAGAAGCTCGCACAGGCCGGTCAAGCGATTGTCTGCACCATCCACCAGCCCAGCAGTGTCCTCATCCAGCAATTCGACATGATCCTCGCCCTCAACCCAGGCGGCAACACCTTCTACTTCGGCCCCGTAGGCGAAAACGGCAAAGACGTAATCGACTACTTCGGCACCCGCGGCGTCCACTGTCCTCCCAGCAAAAACGTCGCAGAATTCATCCTCGAAACCGCCGCCAAACCCATCAAGCGTGCCGACGGCACAAAGATAGACTGGAACGACGAATGGCTCAAATCCCCAAACAACGCCCTCCTCCTCCAAGAAATCGAACACATCAAGTCCTCCCGCAGCAAACTCTCTCCACCCACCACCCCAAACGACGAAAACACAACAAGAGCACAACGAGACTCTGAATTCGCAGCCTCAACCTGGACCCAAACCCGGCTCCTCACACTGCGCACTCTAACCCAATACTGGCGCTCGCCCTCGTACCTCTACTCCAAACTCTTCGTCTCCATCATCCTCGGCCTCTTCAACGGCTTCACCTTCTACGCGCTCGGCACAAGCACGACAGACCTGCAGAACAGACTCTTCACCATCTTCCTCATCGTGCTCCTCCCGCCCACCATCGTCAACGGCGTCGTCCCCAAGTTCTACTCCAACATGGCCCTATGGACCGCCCGCGAGCTGCCCTCACGCATCTACGGCTGGACCGCCTTTGCCACCGCCCAGGTCGTCGCAGAGATACCCGCTGCCGTCGTATCCAGCGTCGTCTACTTTCTCCTCTGGTACTTTCCTACCGGTCTGCCGGCGGACAGTCCAACCGCCGGCTATGTCTTCCTCATGACGCTTCTTTTTTTCCTGTTTATATCCTCCTGGGGCCAGTGGATCTGCGCCTTTGCCCCCTCCTTTACCGTCATCTCCAACGTTTTACCCTTCTTCTTCGTCATCTTCGGCTTGTTCAACGCCGTCGTCAGACCCTTTGATATGATGCCAGCTTTCTGGCGCTACTGGATGTACTATGTTAACCCCGCCACCTACTGGATTGCCGGCGTCCTGGCCGCTACCATGACAGGCGTCCCCGTTCAGTGCAGTGACATGGAGACCGCTGTGTTTGATACCCCCCGTGGCATCTCCTGTGGGGAGTATGCGCGCCAGTTTTTGGAGTCCGCCCCGGGATACTTGGTGGATCCAAATGCGACGGCCGAGTGCCAGTACTGTGCGTATAGCGTGGGCGATGATTATCTTGCGTCGCTGAATATTGCGGCGGGGGATAAGTGGAGGAACTTTGGAATTTTCCTCGCGTTTTGTGTGAGTAATTGGGCGTTGGTGTACTTCTTTGTGTGGAGTGTTAGGATCAAGGGGTGGAGCTTTGGCTTTGCGACTGTGTTTGGGTGGCTGGGGAAGAGTGTTAAGAGGGTCAAGGGGATGGTGAGGAGGAACAAAGCTTGATCATGTGGACGAAAGATAGTATGTATGGAAATCGCAAATTTGCGTATATAGCCATATACATGGCAATGTCGCCAGCCCATCGTCTTCCAATCGTCGTCAAGTCATGTCAGATGGTATTGTTTGCCTGCCATGTTCCCCGATCCATTTCGCCTTAACGCCATGTAAATGCCTGATGCCGCTTTTTTTTCCTCTCTGAGAGCACTAGTATCACGTGCTTAAAACCTCTCCTTCATCCTACCGGCAATGGTCCGCAGATTGCCGTACATTTTGCTGGGGTTCTGTCCAAGGATCAAGCTGACAATGGACTCGCGAGCAATGTGGATGTTCTTGAAGCCGCCAAGGATGTGGATTTTTTGGTCTGCAAGAACAACTGTTGCTGGTTAGAGCCGAGGCTAAACACGAAAAGGAATCTAGACGTACTTCGTGTTCTGCTGGCGTTTTCAATGGCGAATTTGGTCTTGCCATCCTTGCCGGCGATACGGCCGATGGCGCGGCTGAGATGCTCACCCGAGAGCGATTTTACGTCCTTGATTTCAAACGTCTCAATGTACAGGTCGTCTAGTCGGAGCAGCTAAAGGATGTTAGTCGCTTGTGTGCGAATATACGGCTGTGTATGCATACCGCGATAGCATCGTCTGTGTCGAAACCAAGAGTAAAAGCTTTGACGCTGCAGAGAGTCAGCATAGTCTTGTAATTTGTATGTAGAGCGCTGCTCCACCCAAGACATCAACGTACAAATCTTCTCCCTTCTGTAGAGCGCCCGTGTCGGTGGTAGCGCTCGAGGTGCGCAGCTCGACGCTCTTGCTCTTTGTGTTCATGCGGACCTGCAGCTTGAGATGCTCGACCAGCGGCGGGTAAATCTTGGGCCACGAGTTCTTGAGGGGAGTCATCCTGTGCGGCGGAATAGGCACCTTGCGCTGCTCGCGCCGGAAGGCGAGCGGTATCGACTTGGCGGCGGGGAACTTGGGCTTGCCACTCTCATCTACCATGGGCATGTCTTCTTCGGGCGCATCCGAGGTTGTATTGGGGGCGTCAACGGGGTCGATGCTCATGGAGATGAGGTCGCCGTCGGATTCGGTGGGCAGCGATACGGACGAGGCTTCGAGGGCGACATTGTCGGCCAGTTCTTCGGGGCGGCGCTGGAGGGCAGTAGGAGCAGGCATTTTGTGTATAATTTTTTTCTTTATTTCTCCCCTCTATGTTGCAGTATGTACGGGTGGTGTCTGGTCAATTGGTGTCGTCGAGCGCGACGAGTGGGGCTGGTCAAGAAATTTGGAGAGGCGACGGAATGGTGTGCCGAAAGCGGACTAGCGGGCCAGTGTCCCTCTGCCGCCGCCCTCTTGTGCGGGCGGGCAAATCAATAAATGCCTGGGCAAATGAAATGACGTGAAGCCTTATACAGTCACGACTACCTCACTTAGTGACATACCAGCCAGGCCATTTACTCTCTCCTCTCCCTCTGTCCGCACCCACCCACTCTGCAGACGTCGACCATGTGCCCGCCGCGCTTATCATGAACAAGCATGTGCGAACGCTCGGCTTGCTGTGGCGCCCCATCGCTGGCCCGCTGTTGAGAGAGGGCGCTGCCTTTGCCTGCCCTCCCATTCGACATGCCTTTTCGACCGCATCTACGACCCAACGCCCTCGCACAACGCCCGCGCCATGGCTAGCCTGCTTTCCCGCTGTCAATTCACCCTATACCCCAAGCGCCCAGCATAGCATCACCAAGGTCGTCTTCGCAGCATGGACCCGACATGCCTCGTCAAAGGCCTCGCGCGCACTGAGAAGGAACACACGCAACGACCGACGCAGCAAGAGCTCACTCACTCCGTCCTCTTCCGACAATAAGCGTCGTCCGTCTGGCCAGGCGCCGCAGGCAAATCTTTCGCCTCAGCCGAATGCGCCGCCAAAGCCCTCACAGCCAGAGCCAGAACCAAAGCAAGAAGCCGATACTCCAGGCACCTCAAAGCCCCTCCTCGACCGCCTGCCCCATCACCTTCCGCATCTATACCGCCCTACCAAGGCTGAGCTGCTCGCCGCTGCCTCGGGCTTCTGGTCGCGCATCAAGATTCACTTTAAATGGCTCACCATCCGGAGCACTCGTCCCTTCAATGCCGATGAGATATACGCCCTCTTCTCCTGGGTCATTGCCGCCCATGTACTATGGGTTATCCTGGGAACCACGACATTTTTCATGCTGACCATCTTCCTCATCAACACTGCTTTCTCTCAAGAGACGGTTGGCAAGTGGATTGGCAATTATCTGACAAAGTCGTCGGGCATTAAAGTCGTCTTCGAGACTGCGGTAGTCCCCAAGTGGGGAGACGGCGTAATTTCCTTCCGCAATGTCTTCGTCTCGCGTCGCCCCGGACAGGGCACAGGAAAGGTCAGCAAGGGTTCACACACGGAGATAGCTGCTGCCGCCGCCGCTCGAGCTCAGCATAGCAAGGACGCACATGACGGGATTCCGGCCAAGTCCGAACCAGAGGAAGACACAAACTACACCCAGTTCGACATTTCCATTGACACAGTCAACATCACCTTGTCCTTCTCCAAGTGGTTCAATGGCAAAGGCTTGTTGGAGGATGTTGAGATCAAGGGCATCCGCGGTGTAGTGGATCGAACTTCAGTACGCACTATTGAAGGCGTCGACCCAAGGTCGTACAAGCACGAGCACCAACCTGGAGACTTTGAGCTTGACTCGTTCAAGATGGAAGATTTGCTGGTGACTGTATACCAGCCAAATGGCTTCCGCCCCTTCTCCGTCAGTATCTTCTCTTGCGACCTTCCCAGGCTACGGAAACAATGGCTCTTTTACGACTTTCTCTCTGCAAACATGATGTCTGGATCATTCGACAACTCCCTCTTCACCATTCATCCCCGACAAACCCACAACTACACAGGTGCGCAATTGAGCAGCGGTCGCGCCTCCGAGGACGGCAGCTCCTGGAAGAAGCACAGCCGGATACGCATCGATGGTCTCAACATCGACCATCTCAACCGCGGCTACGAAGGCCCGTTTTCCTGGATTCATGAAGGAAACGTCGACATTGTTGCCGACGTCATGTTCCCCAACGACCACGACGACAGTATTGCCAAAGTCATGTCTGACATGTACGACCGCGTCGAAGCCACCGTCACCCAACAGCGCAAGCACCACTTTTCCGACCATGCCGTCCATGGCTTTGATGAACACCATCACGACGACAAGACCTCTGACTCTGAGCAAGGGGAGGAGTCGCGTTACATGATCATGGACATGCGCGTCCACCTCAACGACGTCCGTGCCGCCGTTCCAATCTTCACCAGGGACATTTCGTACGTCAACAATGCTCTGGTGCGGCCTATTGTCGCATACATCAACTCGAGCCGTAGCTTCATTCCAGTCAACTGCAGAGTGGTCAAGAAGGTCAGCGAGTTTGATGGCAGTTGGACATTGTACGACAGCGGGTTGATGGAGGAGGTATCGAAAGAGGTATGACGAAATCCCTGCCATGACACTCACAACGATGTACTAATCTTTTCAGATGTACGATGCCTTTGCCCGTGACGTCCTCGAGGATAGGACCACACGCAAGCGGCGAATAAAAAAGGTAGGCATTTGGACTTTGCAACTCGCAGCTCAAGCCCTCTTTCTCGGCCTCGCCGGGAACATTGCCTAGACATGATACCCTTGACGGATGACATGCACGAGATGAATGAAACAACAAAATTAAAAGCACCTCTCTCTTCTTTTTGTATTATACCATACACGTACACAGATACACGTGGGCAGCGTACGGCGTTTTGGGCAAGGGCTCGCTACACAACATGGGATTGTTATGCATGGCGGCTAGTCAGTTGTTCTTTAGGTCTGATATAGACGCTTCCGCGGACATGACTTGATGGAATTCAAACGCTTATGGACTTGAATGATTAACGGTCTTTTTCTTTTCTTTTCTTTTGAAAAAAATCATCTATTTCATCAATCGTATCCTCATATATCCCCAAAATCTCTCTCTTCACTCATCCACCCGTCCCACAAACACAGCCCCAACCTCGTTCCCTTGCTCCCCCCACACCCGCTCACAAGGAACCCACTGCACACCTCCCTTGGCCACCACACCCCCCAGCCGCTCCCCCAACGCCGAATCCCGCGAAACGTAAAGAGTACCGGCGGTCCACTCCCGTGCCGCCAATCCACTCACATCGCCCTCCCCCCGCAGCTCCAACGTGACAAACCGCGCGCGACTCCCTTGGACCGTCACCACCGTCATGCCGGGCTCCCGCTCGAACCTTATACCCGAACAAGTCAAGCCCGTAGCACTCCACTCGACGTCGACGCCACGCGGCAAGGAAGAGATTTGAGCCACGAAACACGGGGGTATGGGCAGCGCGTCGGCACTGGCAGCGGTGGGGTGGAGAGCAGTGTAATCCGGGATGCGGGGACGAGGTATCTTGTCGGAGAAGGAGGACGGGGACGAAGAATGGATATTCAGCGCGTCCCAGGGATCGACATGGTCTTGTTCTTCGTGGTGGTGTGATTCTGATTCTGATGCTTGGGCGTGATGCGAGGAAGTGTGGATGTGGCGCCAGGCTTTTTGGATTGTATGGATGGAAGAGAGAGAGTGTGTGATGGAAGAAGGGATGTAAGCTACGGCGGCACCGCACCACCAGGTGAGCTGTTTGACGGCGGCAATGCGCCACAGATGCTGCAGCGACAGGGCGACTTGGCCGGGGAATGCGCGGGAGGTGTAAGGCGCCATTGAGGCGGGGTGGAGGGGAATTTGGCCGGCGATGTAGACTGTGCTTCCTACTTCTTTCTGGCCTTCTTCTTCGGCGTCTCCGTGGGCATCTTCGGGGTCTGCAGAGGGAGGAGGGGAAGAGATGGCAGGGGGAGGGAGTGGGATGGAAATTGCCTGGCTGTATGGTCCGATGTTCGCGGGCGCCCAGTAACTCGTGCTCTGCACGTGCAGTCCTTCTCGCTTTGCGCTGCGCGATGCGATGATGCTGAGCATAACGTCGGTGCCGTGCGGCATGGCGGTGGAGCAGGCGACGGTGACGCGGGAGGGGGGGTTGATGGCGGTGAAGAAGGAGGCGTAGAGGGGGTTTAGGAGGGTGAAGGTGGACATGGAGCGGAGGAGGAGGGTGGTGTGGGTTATGTTTGATTTTGGGACATGGTGGGTGGAGAGGTGGTGGGAGAGGAGGAGGAGGATGGAGGAGAGTTGGTGGGAGGGGGATGAAGAGGGGGTGGGTGAGGTGAGGTTGGAAATGGTGAGGAGGGTGGGGGTTGAGCGGATGGTGTTTGTAGGGAGGAGGGGGGCGGGGGTAGTAGGACTTGATGATGATGATGATGGGATGGTAGTACTCTCCGGTACAACAACATCCGTCTTTGTATCCTCGATGGATTCCAACAGCTTCGCAAACTCGTCGTCAAACACGTCGGGCACCCTCAGCGCCCCTACATCCCCCTCTCCATTCTTCTTGTCCTCCACCCAACTCTTCACCACCTTAAACACCGTCTGGCCCCCCTCCAGCACCACCGCCTCTCCATCAACCCGTATCTTCTTTTTCCACACCGGCCCCGGCCCGTCAACCGCCAGCGTCTCGAACTCGCCGCCTTCGCCCAAAATCGCCCCAGCACCCACTTCGTCACCAAACATGCCCATCGCCTTGCTCAACCGCGCCACAGCAGCCGGGCCACCAGCGACATCCAGCCCCAAAAAGGAAGCGTCGAGCCCGCCCGAAGCCGTCTTGATGATAATTGCTTGTTGCCCAACGGCACGCATGTCGCGCAAGAGCGCAGACTGCTCGTACGGCGGGAGCTGCGGGTACTGCCACAGGTACGCCAGCGGCGTGAGGCCGAGTCTGAGGGCTACGGATTCCACGCGTGTGCGCTGGTAGGTGCTTAGGATTGCGCCGGTGGATATGGCGTTGGCGGTTGGATGGGCTTGCATTACGCGTTTAAGCAATGGGACAAGATCTTCCGTCTCATCCTCTTGCTCTACTATCCCCTGCTCTTCCTCTACATCTATCTTTTGTTTTTGACTTTGCGTTTGCTGAGAAGATGATGATGATGATAACGATCTCAACGGCGCCGCATAATCCCTGTTCGAATCGACTGCTGTACCCGTGATTTGTCGGCGGTACAGCGGCAGATCGAGCGCTTGCGAGTATAGAGGGACTACAGAGTGGCCGACCGTCTGGTACATATAACTGTCTATGTCTTGTTCTTCGCCATTGGCTAAGGGCCCCGGGTGCAGGTTGGCCAGGGCCACGACGCGGTGGCCGTTTGCTTGACAGTGGAGTATGGAAAAGAGCGAGTCTTTGCCTCCCGAGATCAGCGCGATGACATTTAGAGACTGCGCCATGGCGCCGCCTTGGGATTTGTGAGTGAAAAAGGGTTGCCGCTGCCGCCGTCCGCCGGGCTGGGCCTAGGCACACGAGCGAAAAAAAAAAGGCGCGACAGAAGGAAAGAGGGAAAAAAAAAGATTTAGGGCTCGGACGCTGGGGCAGGGTGCGTTGAGGCGGCCCGATGCAGTCGAAGTGTAAATGCAGGTTGGAAGTGGTATTACTCGCTAAAGTTGCGCGCTGCCGCACGCTAGAATGTTTAACCAAAAAAAGAACGATGCACTGCTGACAGGCTGACTAGTACTCAGAGGTAAGTGGTAAGTTAGTGCTCAGGAAACAACGCAACGCAACCCCTCCCCCGTCACCGAACTGATCACCTAAGACCTAGAGCGGAAAAAGAAATGGCTAGCACTCAACTTTATGCATTACGCGGCTTCACTCCAGTTCACATGCAAGGTATTTGGAAAAAAGTAAGAGAAAGATAGAGGCCGAAGTGTCGGTGTAACGCATTTTTTTGCTATGTATGATAATCGGACAGTGCCAGCACCGTTAACCTGAAATTGGGGCTACGATAGAGCTTTACTAATGGGGGGGCAGGTAGTATGGGTGGTGTTTATGCTGAGCAGTTCAGACGATTACATGTGTGTATGGGTTTGAAGAAAAGAAGCGAAGATTCCCAGAATGTTAGAGGTGGCGAATGCCGGTAGGGAAGATGAGATTCCCACTCCGACAAAGCCCCAATTACAACGAGTGATGATGAACAATTGAGGGCAACGCGGCGACAAGTTGGCCGGTGGTGAGTAGGGTAATTGGCCATGTCGTCATGAGGAAAAAAAGAACACCCAAGCAAAAAAGGAAAATGAAGAAGAGAAAGAGAGAAAAAACCAAATCTAATCCCGTTTCTTCCCATGGTTTGCCTCCAGTCTCCTCGCTCCAAAACCCCGAAGAAACGTACCAAACCGACGCGCAAAATGAAGTTTTTAAAAAAAAGAAGAGGCCAATATCAAAGTGGGTGTGCCACCAAGATCAGACGCGTAGAATACAAGAGGTGAAGTGAAGCAAGGGACTCTTGGGTGGGTCTGAATTTGCTTCAGACCGCTCAAGTGCGAATCTTCGCCGCCTGTCTAGCAGTGGCGCCTTTGCGTATCGACGTCAAGGAAGACTAGCAGTCGCCTTGCATAATGCAAATTTCTTCTACCAAGTGTTGTGAATGTCATGAAGGGTCGTTAAGTGCTGAAAGGCAGGAAACGCAACAAAAACAAATGCCTACTCGTTCCTCTTGCGCTTCTTCTGGCCGGGTGTTGACTCGTGCTCAGATCCGTCGGAGCTTGACGTGGGGATCTCTGCAGCAGCGTTGTAGAGGATCTCACCCATGGTGGAAGGAGCCTGTGCACCAAACGCGCTACCTTGGCCGTGTTGCATGTCGGCGTGGTGGAAGTCGGAGCCCATGACCTCAAGGCTGACAGCGCCAGTTCCGTGGGTGCGCTGGTGCTGGGAGAGGTTGTCGCTCCTGGAGAACTTCTTACCGCAGTCAGTGCACTCAAAGGGCTTGTCGTGAGTGTGGAGAGAGCGGTAGTGGCGCTTGAGGTGTTCCTGGCGGCGGAAGCGGCGGGAGCAGAGAGTGCAGACAAATGTCTTGGATGGGTCGTCGGTGAGTGACTGCTTGCGACCACGGCGGCTAGTGGGAGCGACAGGAGTGGTGTTCTCGTCAGAGCTGGAGGCGACGGCGTTCTCGGCTTGACCTGATTCTTGTTGGCTTGAGGCTCCAGACACGGTGTGCTCATCACCTGATGTCTGTTGCTTACCCTGGAAGTCAGACTCGGTCTCGCTGAAGGCGGAGCGGGCCTTCTTGACTGTTTGCCTCTTGACTGCGGACATGGTGTCGAACTCGCTGGCGGCGGGGGTGAGAGGTAGGCTATGGACAAGCTCCTCCTCAAAGTCGGTGAAGCTCTCGTCGCTCAGGAAGTCGTCCTCGGGAGAGAAGGCACCAAGGTCAGTGCGCTGGCGCTTGTTACCGAGGAACTGGGTGTTGTCGGTAGAGAAGTTGACAAGGCCGTTGAAGTCGTCTTCGCAGTCGAGCTCAAAGAGGGGCTCGAAGGTGGGAAGGCCGTTGAAGCTGAAGGTCTGCACAGACTCAATGTTGTCAACCTTGGCAGTTTCACCCTTGAGAACCACCTTGTGCTCCTCGTCACCGGGGCAGAGAGTGACGATGGGCAGTTCAGAAGCAGCCGAGACGGTGAGATCGCGGGGGTTGCAGAAGTTGTTCTCAGCCTCAGCGACGGTAGCGCGGGGAAGAGGTGAAGGAGATGGGGAGAGAGAAGGGCAAGAAGTTGCGGAAAGAAGGTATGAACCCTGGTTGACTGAAGGAGGCTGGATGTATACTTGTGCAAAAGTTAGCGAGCCCGTTCACACACACATGCATTTCACCCGGCTGATTGCGGATAACAAGCCACGCAAGCATGCCGGTTTTCTTCAGCAGTGAGCAAACTTACCTGGTGTCATTGGTGGGGTGGTTGAACGCCACTCGAGGCCGGCAGAAAGGATCTCAGAAAAGACCTCGCCTTCACAACCCTGCTTTACACCCTCCATGCCCTCACCAGGGAACATGTCGTGGAGAGGAGTGGGAAGGATGTCGTACGAGGAAGGGCTGCTGGTGCTGCTGCCGCATGATGACAGAGGAGGAGTAGCGGGTGAGAAAGAGTAGTCGGTGTCGATGGGGTGAAGGTAGGGGGAATCCTGAGGTTGGATCAGGATGGCTGGCTTCTGGTACATTGGCTGGGGCGACGCGACTGGAGTCATCATTTGGCTGGCGTAGGCAGTCTGAGGGTAGGACATTTGTGAGTTTGCTGATGTAGGCCTCTGGTAGTACATGTTGTGTGGCTGGAAGGTTGATTGTCCTGAAGGGTGTGGTGTGAAGTGGCCGTGCTGGCGGTTGTTCTCGCCTTGAGGGTCTGGGTTGTAGTAGAAGAATGGTGATTGCATAGCTTGGGTAGGGTGAATAGGGTATGAACCATCCATTGCAGATGGCTGTTGTGATGGTGGTGTTGGTAGTGGTGGTGTAGTATGAGTAGGTGTCGTTTGCTTCAGTCCGATGGTTGGTTGGATGGATGAGGGATTGTGTGTAGTACCGAGTGAAGATGGAAGACGTGTATTAGTAGTATGTAGGGTGTTGGAAGAGGCAGGATAATGTTGAAGAGAGAGAGAGAGATGGATGGATGTATTGAGGGAGTGGAAGGAATGACTGGGGATCGGTTCGCAATAACGAGACCGTCACTTAATAGATATTGTAGATCAAAGAGTGTGAGGGCACAAAATTATGACCCAAGATGAAATGGTGAACAGCGATGGCGGAAAGAAACGAGAGGGACGTGGTTGATGAACCTTGGACCAGGGCAGACCAGTGAAAAAGAGAACTGATGCGCACACGCTCCAGGACGGCTCGCTTTAGTGCGTCGGGGCGCAGCGTGCTCCACATGCCAGCTAGGAATGGGATCCTGCGTTAGACCCTCGCCTTGACTCGCGTCAAAAGCAGCGAGTGCATTGCGGCCAGGGTTTGGGGCCTAAAATTATTCGCCCAATGCATAGCTGCACGGGGCTATAGGCGAAATGAGATGTGCACGGCGGCGCCGGCAGGCGTGCAGGTATTGGCTGGCGGCCAGCCCAGGTGGGATGGGATGGAGGGTCGGCCTACCACGCATACGTAGCCACTGACTGTACCGCCGCCCAGTCCGGATGGCGAAGCCACCCAAGCTGAAGAAGGCGACGGAGGGTTTTTTGCAGCAGCAGCGGCGGCGGCGGCGGCGGCACGGCTGGGTGTGGGTGGGTGTGCATGTGTGAGGCGACAACGGCCAGTCATGGCGAGTGGAGACGGTGCTGAGACTGCCGCTGCCGCCGGTGCTGGGGGAGAGGCAGCAAAGACGAAGCGGGTGGGTATGGTGTAATAGGCGGGTGACAGGCAGAGGGGGGGTGTGTGTGTGTGAGTGTCTAACCTAACCAGAACCACAGGCATGCCCTCTCACACGACTCCAACTCGCCTCGAGATTAGCGTGCTGCCGGGTTTCATTCAGGCTATCCAGCTATCTGCCAATCGATAATGATAACTGCCAGACCCTGGCACCCAGTGTTTTGAAACGTCCACTCAGCGTTGCGGCCCTTCCGCTGCGGATGACGATTGCTGGGTGATTGTGATAACGCCGCGCGCGCCCTCTACCGTGTCTGTCACACCAAACAACGCCGTATCGCCCGTAGTATCACCGTCGTCGACCACTTGCAGAAGCAATGTAACGCGGTGCCCATGTCGTTTGTCGCTCGCTGACCACCACGCCGCCTTGGGCCTGGAGACTGACTTGGGACTGACCTGGTACTCGACCTGGGACGTGGGCGGCGTCATGCAAAGGAAAAAAAAAGAGACGAGGGCGGCGGCGAGGGCGAAAGCAACAAGCTTCGCTATGCTTTCCCAAACATGTTGGGCCGTCGACCAGAGTGTGGTAGCCATGTCTCACAACCACACGAAGAGAATGCGAGGTCAAAGTCATTCAACTGCAGCGCGCCATGCTTGCCGTCCGTCCGTTAGCCACAGCACACTCACAAGGTCAAGGTATGCGTGCATCCATTGCCACAGGCGTCGCGCGACACACTGGAGCGCAGACTGGGCGCGCCGGGCTCACGCAGGAACGTCAGCCATGATGCAAGAGCAAGAGAGGCCTGCATCGCCCTGCCAGCTACAGCTGGAGCAGCCGGGCAGCGCCGTCTGCCAATGGCTACAAATACGGCCACGGCCCATGGTGCGACATTGTCGTGTGCGGTGAGCTGCACGTCGCCACCAGTACCGTTCTTTTTCCATGCTACTATGCCCGCTGCCAAAGCCCTACGACGACATGGAGGGTCGAGTGGGATCGGGATGTGGATGGCATGTGGATGGCATGTGGATGCCATGGATGGGCATACAGCCAGGCTTGCACTTGGGGCGTGAATCCATGGTGCAAGTCTGTTTCAGAGCCTGGTTTGCCACATGGCCGCCGGCCGAGTAAGTAAGTACGTAGCAGCAATCGCGGCCGGTGGGCAGCGTGGAGCCAAGATGGCATGCGGGAATTGCAATGCCGTACTGTGTAAGTAGTCCGTAGGGAGCCCCCATGGACGACTTCTATCTATGGACGAGGGCCAACGGGCGTGGATGGTTGGCAACGCTCGTGATGCTGACCGTCGAGCCTCGACACAATGGCGGTAAAAAAAGGTTGTGCAGGCCGGGGGGGGGGTGCAACTGGCGGCACAAAATAGCAGCGAGCTATTGAATGCAGCGGATGCAGAGTTGTGAAGCCGCCGGCGAGACCTAAATGGGCTTGGGGAGTTAAAGCGGCGGGAGGACGAGGAGCGGGACAGGCGGCGGTGGTCGAGTCGAACAGGCCCGATCGCATCCGCCTTCCCCCACATTGGCCGCACAGCTGATTGATCCAGAGGCGCGTCTACTGCAGGAACGATGCAGGAACAAACGACTGCACCATGTCTCTCTATCCCATCGCCGTACCCGTCGCCATACGCCTGCTCTACTTAGTTGGACTAGTCGGCACTTGCTCTACCCTACATACAACACCACACCGTCTTATCGTCAACCCCAGGCCATGCCATCCTTCCCCCCGCCCTCTCTGACCGCCCCTCCCCTCCCACCAACCAGCCAACCAACCAGCCAGCCAGCCAGCCAGCCCCCCGCGCCGCCGGCCACTCGGGCTGCGTCGTCTGTCAGCGGCTTCACATGGGCGAGGGCGTGCAATTTCTAGAAGGCGACCGCAGCGGGGCCGTGGTACGACTCGACAGGGTCCGGATGCGATTCACGCTGACAAAGGGCCTCTCTGTCCGCGACGAGACAGCGTACGGGCGCGAGGGTGCGAGGGTGCGAGTGGATGCGTAGGCGGTCGTGCGTGGTCCTGCCACTGCTTCGGCGCCGGGGAAGTCGTCGTGGCTTCCATAGCTTCGGCCCACCTCGCCCACCTTGCCCACCCCTCCACCACTCCACCACGCCGCCGGCTCCGGGCTGGCATTGGCTGGCTCGCCCAAGGCCCTGATCGTCGACCATTCCAGGAAGGTTTCCAGTCTGGCGGGGTCGTGGCTTCCATGCCGCTCGTACATACTTACTGTGTACTTAGTAGCCCGTAGCTTGCACCTCGCCCTCGCCCATGGTTTGGCCTAGGCCCGTCGCCGCTAGGGCTGCCTTTGACTCGCTCAAATGCCCTTCGGATGCAATGCCATGACACCCGGCTTGACCATCAACTCTGTCCACCGACACCTGTGCCACTCGCTCGTTTGATCGCGTTTGTCCGCCATGCCGCCCCCGAACCCTACACGACCATCCATCCGCCTCCGCGACGACGGCTGCTCAAGACGCCTGCATTGCGCGACCGCCGCAAACCCATGGCCTGACTCTGTGCCTCACGCCTGCACCTGCACCTGCACCTCAGCCTGCACCGTGTCGCTGTCCTTGCCCGACTATCGGCACCCATGACGGACGTCAACTGTCGCCCACACGCTGAACGTCTCCAGCCCACCAAACTCGACGCAACCCATTCCCACTCTGCTCCACCTGCTCTCTGCTCTCTGCCCTCTGCTCCTGCTGATGCTGACCCTGTGAAACGCGGGCAGGATGATGATGATGATGATGCCATTGCTCCACGCCGCCGCAGTGACAAAACGGCCATGTCATCCCAATCAGGCAGCTGCCAGGCGGGCAGATCGCAGATTTCACCTGTCCCACTGTCCACCACTGTCCAGCACGAGCCTCCAGACTGCTCTCAAACGAAATTCGCGTTATGCTGAGCCCAGGGTCTAGGGTCGTTTGCAATCTCCCTCCCTCGCTCCGTGTGGGTGCCGTCTGACTGGTCCCCCCCGGCGTTGGAGCTTCTGGAATATGTGCCTTCCCCACATTTGCTGCTGCTGGGTGCTCAGTGCTGAATGCATGCAAAAGTGCTATGCAGTGTCGTGTCATGGTAGGCCCAGCAAGCCGCTTGGTGTAAAACGCAGCTCAGGCATGCCAAAGACCAGTGTCTGATACGCAAGACATCGGTGACAGACACATGTCTTGTCTGGGCCACACGGCAAGTGGAACTTGCACAAGGCCCGCGTTCTGGAGCCGTCGTGGCCACTGCCGGTCCGGCCGGCCTGACCAAGTTCAGCATACGAACAGGCGGTCGAGGTCCATGGGCCTGCTGCTGCATCTTGCAACACAGACACGTGGGCATCTGTCGCCATGGTCACTCTATGATAAGCCCACGGCGAAACCATTGTCAATCTGGGCTTAGCCTCGACATAGTTCTTCGGAACGACACTGCCCGCGTAATCCATTGCCCAAAGTCTCCAATGGCGTCTCTACTTACTATGCAAATCTTTGCTAAGGTCGCGTCTTGGCTGGTCATCCAAATCTCTGCCAGCCCTCCGCACGCCTGTGATTCGGCATTGCCATCTGTGACTCGTAACAGCCATAAAACAAGCTCTCAACAAAGAGACTGGGGCGTCGCAGTATCAGGAGCAGCACTGTTGCTTGCTTGTTCGATCAAGGGTCTCCTCTTGCACCTGCAACGCTGCGGGCCAAACCGTCCGTAGACGGCTAGCAACTGTGCTTTCCCAGAGGAGCCAACAGGTGGTTAGTACAGCTAAAAAGTCGCCGATCCAAGTGCAGATCTTGGGCAGACGAGCATGACAGGGTCGACGATCGCAATTCCAATGACCGCATATCCACGCAGCCGCATCCAGTTTTGTGCTCTCCTCGGCCAACTAAGCAAATGTGATGAGCATACAGAGTTCGATTTGGCATGTAACAGTAGTACGCAGACTACGTATGTGGTATCGTGGGTGCTGGATACGGGGTAGCCAGTGACGTCGTCCATTGACGTAAAAAGTAGTCGTGATTTCAAATTGCCAGGCAGTAGGCAGCCGACGCGCATCCAGCAAAGACTACTAAGTACATATCGTACTACTTACTTGCTGTACAAGCAGCACCCATGATTCACGCCCGGCTGCTTTTCTACCAGAGTGTTGTATGAGGAAGGTATCAAACGGTCTGGAATCTCTTTTACGAGCACATTGAACAAGACCCCGGGACAAGATCCCGGGACAAGCTCGATCAAATTTCGAGTCGGTGAGCAGCAGTCCGCGGCATAACACCGCAAAGTGCCGTCTGTCGGTGTCGGTCGAGCTTGGCCCGTGACGCTCAGACACCGAATAGCCGTGGGACTGCAAGTGCGCAGGCACAGGTGCCGAGATAAGTAAGTACTACGTACAAGAGTAGACTACATAGCCGACAGGAAACGAGACGCCAGGACGACCGGTAGCCATGCACAGCGTATGTAGGTGGCAAGTGTGTACATAACAGCGCAGGCAAAAGAATCCATCAGGTCGGAAACACGTCGAGGCATGAATCGGACAAGCAAGAATAGGATAATAATGCTCCGATATGTGCGCCCATGGCCGTGGGTCTCCCAGGCTTTCCATGCTCGCTGAAACAAGCGATGGTCAAAGGCCGTCTGTCTGAAGCAGCAACAGCCGCCTTGCGAAGTCGCCCACGAATATCTCGCACCCAGTCCGTTTCACAGGCCTGCGCATTCTGTCAAATGCGCGAAACATACAGGTGTCAGTTAACGGTCGCGTCTAGCTTCCGCATCAACAACAGCTGTAACAACCGCGTCGGTACTCCGAACACACAGACAACACGGCGGGACGGGTCGGGGACAGGCCTCAGAAGGTGGTGATGAGTTGTAATCAGTCGCGGCCATTTGGCTACGTCTTACTCTTCCTATCTTGATATGAGATGTCATCAGCGGCCATGGAGAAAAAAAAGAAGAAAGAAAGAGGCCGGGCAAAACAGCACGAAGAATTTTGATGTTCTCCTCGCTTCGCCGCAATTTACCCGACATCACGTGAGCCCACCGGAGAAACTCGACCGCCGGCGCTAGCCACAGGGCAGAAATAAAAACTCGACAGGACTGCGTACAGCTTCTGTCGTTATGCGGCGCAGGTCGATAGTCCGTTTCCCCGGTTGCTTGAGGGTCATTACTCCATGGCCCTTCATGTGTCGTTGACCTGCCAGAGTGAACATATTGCACAATCTATCATATACACTTTGTGGCGGCGCCTGTTTTTTGTTAGTGGCGTCTTCACTGGAAAAAGATAGAACATACCCATTTGCGTGACTTGGGCATTATTTTTTTGGTCTTTCTATATTTATTTCTCGCCAACACCAAGCGGCATGAATTTTGGCGTGAGGCGGAAATAATCAAGCTGGCAAGAGTGTTGTTATACGCTGAGGTGCAAAATGCCGAAATTGCAATTCTCTTCGCCCTTCGGTCTTGCCAGTGTTTGGTGTGTCATCGTGGGCTGAGGGCTTGTCGCATCCCCGCATCATGTTTCACGTGAAAAGACTGCAATCACCGTAAAACAAGCATACGCAAAAAGGCTCTACCTTGCATGGGGGGTTTTTTTCCTCAGTTCTATCTGCATGCTTCATTTCAGACGCTTATGCTAAGACTGGGCCTCTACAGCATCAGAAAAATACCGCCCAAATGACACATAGACCTCTCTCTCTCTCAACCATTTCTCATGTTTTACGTGAAAAGGCCTTGGCAAAGTGCATGTTTCCCGTTTGGCAACACTCTAGACAGCAGAACGAACAATTGTTGACTGTGATCAGCTTGCAGTATCATGTGCTGTGTCACATTGGATTTGCTGTGAGACAATTATAACCTGTGTTTATTTCTGATTTGCTGAGTGTTGGCCTAAGGCTGAATTCTTTGAATATTAATTTATACTTTTGTAGAACATACGATGCAAAACTACATGCTAGATAAAATAAAATAAAAATAACCACCAATCTTTACGGCCTGTCTGTCTACCGACCCCACGGCTGTACTGCGTACGTCACAAGCATCCACTCAGGCCAATACAATATCATGCTCTTTATTTATTACGCGTGCTGCGGATGATGGCGGCGGGGAAATGCTGCATAAGCGCTGCTCTCCAATATCCACCCACGTGCAGTCCACATGCATGGATCGCCGGGAACCGCTAGAAACGACGATGCAGAACATATTAATACGACGCTCGTCTAAGAGATCAGAGTAAGCATCGAAACGAAAATGCATGCTCGCATTGAGCTGTAGCTATTTTCTGATGGAGACGTAATCGTGCAGACGTGTCACATTAAAAGGTAAAAAAGCAACTAACATTTTATCGCTGTTTTTAATTCAACAAGTCAAAATTATTGGACGTTGATGTAGAAAAGGAAGACGATATCCCAACCTGTTTCTCACATCAACTGCTATTCGCAACCAGAGTAGCAATCGGTATGCACACAATGAATGTTGCGCCGAAGAGACAGCGCGCGTCGGATTACCTGGTGTGATGTCACCTGCGTTACGCGCTTTAGCGTGAGATCATGTCCCTGGCCGGCTCTCCCGCGCCGCAACCGAATGCGACCGACCATATCTTGCAATCAGGGCCCTGAACCCTTTCTGCGCTGTCGCACTCCCTTTTCTCCTTCTTTTGCGTGCTGCAACAGTGGAATTGAGACAAAATGGCACCTAAACGACGTGCAGAAATCGTAGACCTCACTGCTGATGACGCGCCTGATGGCTCCTCATATCGCGCATCCAAGCAATCTCGTACATCGTACAATGCAGCCCAATGAGCCATAAACAGCTCATCGCGAGTAGACATGACCTCTGGTGACATTTGGGATGTCGATGACGAATACGACGAAGATGCTGTCTCACAGGAAGCCCCCGATGCAACCCAAGGGTACAGCGAGCAGCATTACAATTACCTATTGTACGGCGCTTTAGATGACAAAATCGTTGGCGGTGAGATACTACAATGGACATGCTACCGAAGGAAAAACGGTGGTGCTTCGCAGAGAGCCACGTGACCGGTACGATGCAAATGTCATCCGTGTCGATAATGTCCAGGGAGAGCAGATTGGCCATATTCTAAGAGGGCTGGCAGCCAAGCTGGCGAAATACATGGACAATGGCAGTTTGCTGATTGAAGCCCAAATAACGGGACATAAAGGTTACTATGAATGTCCTATTGAGCTCCAACTCTACGGAACAGACGATCCTATAAAGCGACAGGAGCTCATAGCTAAAGAAGCCGCCAAACAAATGAAGAAGGGTGCCAAGGGGGTAGAGTGAATTGAAGGTCCAGAGACCAGCATGGCCGAGTTTGCTGCGGGCTTTCCGCCGGGCATTCCTTCATTAACAGGACCTAGTCTAGAGGATATCATCACCGGTAGCGAGCGCTTCAATCCCAGAAACATTGAGGAGGATCTTGCTGCGATGCCTCAAGCACCCTAACCCGATGCTCTCCTCACTGAACTGCGCCCCCCTTTCAATTGCAGGGTCTGCAGTGGATGCTCGACAAGGAGAGTCGCAGGCTTCCTACAAAAGAAGGCAAAAATGTTGTCCAGCTATAGCGCCCTCATACGAACGTACCCGATATCTATACAAATGTCGCAACAAGCTTTTCTGTCAAGAACCCAGCACTGACTTCAGATGGTATACTTGCTGACGACATGGCCCTGGGTAAGACCACCAAGACCATCTCCCTCATTATTACCGATCGAGCGCTTGGTCGCAGTACCAAAGACGCAACAAAGGCTGCCTTGATACTTGCACCCGTTTCAGTGATGAGCAACTGGAGTAACACAGATGCAGAATCATACCAACCCGGAACACGCGCTCCGTGTCATGTTCTGGCATGGACAAAAAAAGGGAGCCCATCACGCCCGAGACTACTGAGAATTACAATGTGGTCATTACTACGTACGAGTCTATATCGTCTGATTGGTATTCGCAAAAGTCCACTGCCCTGCCTCGTAAGTCAGGCCCCATTCTCCATCAAGTGGCGTCGCGTAATCATGGACGAGGCCCACAACATACTACTCGGCAATCCCAAAGCCAAGAAAACTCTTGCCATTTCCAATCTCATGGGCTCAGTCCGCGATGGAGTCTTACAGGCACACCGATTATCAACAACCCCCCAAAAATATCTCTACACTCAAGTCCCGCTTTCCTGCGTCTCTCAGGCGAGCCTCGATTGCCTTTTTTCCGACGTCTTTCCACAGCGCCATCATGCGTCCCCGTTAACGCAAGGGTCCAGCAGGTCCTTCAAATTGCTCATGTCAGACATTTGTCTGCCGTCGCAAGAAAGAAATGTCGTTGATCGACCTGGCGATTATACCGCCCCCCCCTTTCCCAGTACAACCATAAAAAAATTCCTCCAACTCTCCATCGACTCGCAAGAAGACTGCCCCATCTACCAAAGACCCCCCACAACACACCTTCACTTCCTCCCCGGAAACAACTACCCTGCTCGCCTCCCTATCCGTCTGCAGCCAAGACCTCAACCTCATCGCTGCGAACCAGGTCATCCCCGCCGACTCGTGGTGGGCGCCCGCGATCGAGAGGATTAGGCCGTTGATCGCGTGTATTGGCTGGGCCAGACGCGTGAGACGAGGGGTTTTCGGCTCGTGGGAGAGGGTGCTGGGGATTTCAGGGGAGAAGAGACGGTTGGCGGGTATGGCGTTTGCGGAGAAGGAGGGCGTGAAGAGGGGGATTTGGTGAGGTTGTTGTTGTTGTTGTTGGGGGGAGCCGGGAGGTGCAGGCGTAGGTGTAAGTGTAAGTGGAGAGGAAGGAGGATTTTGCGTGTGTTTGGTTGTTGGAAATTTCCATGGCGTCTTTACTTTTCCAATCTCTTTTCCTTGAACTATCGTATTGGTTTTCCCCTTTGTAGCAAAATCACACATAAGCCGTAGAAACTTGATTTCTTGACCCATATGCCTCAAGCGAACACTGGCCAAACACAACCACAAAAAAAATCGTAAATCAGCCCATCGCCTCATCATTTCTCTCGTTGCAAAAACCCCCTTCTCTCCTCTTCTCCTCCTATTACCCCATCGCCCACTCACCCTAAAACTGCACAAAAAGCGGAGGATACAAAAACAAAATCAACTGAATCACGGGCGGCACCGACCCCAACGCGCCCCTATAAAACCTCGCAATCCGCAGACTCCCCTGATCATTCCCCACCTCAAACACACCACAGACCGAACTCCCCACTATCCAGCCCAGCAGCAGAATCATAATGAAGAGGTGCCAGGCCGGATGCAGGTTGTACGGGTTCGTGGCCCATCGTTGCCACGTGTTGCCGAGTTTGTACCAAATAAATTTGTAGAGGGGGACGTGGGAGGTGTCGATGCTCTGGTCTGTGTCTGTTGAGGTGGTGGTGGAGGCCTGTGAAGTTGGGGCGAAGGAGGGCTTGTTAGCTTGGGGGTTTCTGGTGGTGGGATTGGTGATGGAGGAGCGGTTTGGGTTTGTAGGTGGTCTGGCAGATATAGTGCAAGAGAGAGAGAGTGTGTGTATGAATAAATGTGAGAAGGAAGGGGGAAGGGCAAGGGGTAAAATGAAATTAACAGTGATACGTACCTTTTCTGAATATGATTCATCAGAGTCAGATTGTTGGGGGTCCATGGATTTGGTGAGGTATTCTTCGATGTGGACGATTGTGTATGGGACTAGTATGTCCTGGGGGTTTGGGAGATGGTCGGGTTGCAGGTGGGGTGTGGTGGTGATGAGGGAGTCTGTGGGGGACATTTGCGTTGATGGCATAGAGTTTGAAGTGGGGATTGGTATGGCGGGTGGAAAGGGAGGGAGAGAGGGTAAGAGAAGGGGATGGAAGGGGCATGTTTTGGGGGTGGAAAGAGCGAGGGTTGGGGAAGTGGGAGAAGGTGCGTGGGTGATACGGACATGCTTATTTCTCTCTTGGAAATTTTACTTGATAAATGGTAAAGTCATCTTGGAAAGGTGTGTCTATGTAACTCCTGAGGCGATTCTGAATTGGCACATGTAAAATATTGGTATAGATGATGTGAAGTTATACGCGCCACGTGACCATTGCCTGTATGGCCCTTACTGGTAAGTCCACATACTACCAGACCAGGTTCTAATGCCCATGCACCCGCCATGCTCGTATTCACACGCGCCATCTCCAGATGAATAGACTGCATAGGTGGGATGTGATGGATTCAACGGGCGCGACCTAATACTACTAAGTAGCTCCTTAGCATTGTTCGTTGCATATGCTCAAAAAACACTCATAACGCACAATGGGTCAGTCTGCGAGGGATTCCCTGCCACAAGAGTCACCAACATGCGCCACCTATTGTTCATGTGCAATTGGCGCTCATACTTGGGCAAAAAAGGATGCTATTGTTCCGCTGGACATGAAAAGATAGAAGAGGTTGCGATTTCCGCCAAGCAGTGGAGTCTAGGTTACTCGACTAGACCCCGCCATGGCTTTCTTCCACCTTATCCGCGCCTGGCTAGGGGCCATCACCTTGCTGCCATATCGCCTACTACGCGCCCTGCTCCCCGCGCGCTCATACTTCGAAGAATTAGACGCGTCTGGCAGAGACAGCAGAATGCCCAAATTCTACCACGATGACGAGGCATGGGCGGACATAGAGCCCCTCCCCCAGGATGACGGCGGTCTGCACCCACTCGCTGCCATTGCGTATAGCGACGAGTACAGCGAGGCCATGGGCTATCTGCGCGCCATAATGGCCAAGAATGAGTACAGTGAACGAGTCCTCGGCCTCACAGAGCACATCATCAGCATGAACCCCGCGCACTACACTGTCTGGTGAGTCGACCTGCATGCGCACATTACGGCTACCTGATGCTCCACAGGCTCTACCGCGTGAAAACCATATCCGAAATCGGCAGGTCGTTGCAGGACGAAATCGCATGGCTCAATCCAACTGCGCTCAAACACCTCAAGAACTACCAAATCTGGCATCACCGCCATACCATTATTGATCAGCTGGGCTCACCAGAGGGCGAGCCCGAGTTCATCAGTTCCATGCTGGAGCTCGACTCCAAGAACTACCACGTGTGGAGCTATAGGCAATGGCTAGTCGAACGATTTGACATGTTTGACAAACCCGAAGAGCTGGAATGGACACACGGCATGATTGAGCAAGATGTTCGCAATAATTCGGCATGGAACCATCGCTACTACCTGGTCGTCGGAGGCCGCAAAGGCAAGCCCAGTGCAGATATTGCCGACCGTGAGATAGAGTGAGCTACTGCTGTTGCTGCTGCTGCACATGGCTGACTGCTAACCCGACTAGGTACACAAAAGCAGCCATTCGCAAAGCGCCTCAGAACCAGAGTTCGTGGAACTACATGCTTGGAATCCTCCGTGCAGCCGGACTCCCCAAGTCCACCCTCAAGGACTTTGCAGGTGAGTTCGCCGACGTCCAAGACCCCGACAATGTCCATTCGAGCCACGCCCTGGACCTCCTGGCCGATATTTACGCCGAAGAAGAAGACGGCAAGAGGAGAGCCGAGCAGGCGTTGGATCTTCTGGCGACCAAATACGACCCGATACGCGCGAGTTACTGGAACTTCAGAAAGGGCTTGCTCCAACAGCCAAAAGTCGCTGCGTAGACGAGGGCCGGGGTAAAGTCGACGAGCACCAATTGCGCAGATCCATCTACATCTGCGGATCCGCATTACAAATGTCGTTCCAGCGCGAGTATATTTCGGGAGCGCGTGGGAACCACAAAGACAGTGTTAGCGAATCTTCCGATCGTGATAACAGGCTAGGACGCGCCATGCGGTCGTATACTTTTTAGTTTCCCTTTCCGTCGGGGATCTCCTCTTTGACTCCGCAACTTTCCCGGGCCCAACACCATCCCCACCGTTGCGCCGAGCTGTAATCGGATGGGTAACTTTTTGACAAGCTCCCCTGTACAAACGACTGGTTTGCGTCTTGTGATAGGCAAACCCGCCAAAAGCATAACGCCATCCAGGGCGGTAACGCCCGGCAGAACGTATACCGCCGCTGATAACCGCATCGGGAAATGCAAACCAGGGACTGTTTTTTCGAGCACTGGGTCTCATGCTTGTGTCATTCTGCGGTACCTACGTGGTCGCCTGTTCCTTATCGAGAATTTATAGGGTAATTCATGCACTTTATAGGGTAATCAATACTAGGTATCTTGGTTTTGATGAGCCAGTTACCCCACTGGCCCTATGCATCTGGACTCTGGGGTTGCGGGTGCGTGCGGAGCGATAAGGAGAATTTTGGTAGAGATAAAAGATGAGAATCCTGTGTACTTGAGGTTGACATCCGCGAAACAAACTTTGAAATCTCCAGGTCCCATACTATTCACTAGACTTTTACACTGTACTTGTTCTTGATATTTTTTTGTGATACCCAACTTTTGTTTGCTATCTTCAACATGGCCGTCAAGGAGTACCATACTGAGGAGCAGTCTGCCCAGAGCCCTTGGGTTCAGACTCCATTGAGGGAGTCGTATGCACTTTCTGAAGCAGCGGGATGGTACGGTCACACTTTTCCTGTCACCCTCGTTTCACTCCCACCCTTTGGGAAAAGAGATTTCTAAATCGCAGAAGCAGAGTCTTTCTCAAGCTGGAAAATCTCCAGCCTTCCGGATCATTCAAGTCACGGTAAGTGTCGACTTCATTGTTCATGGCTGTCACTTTACTAATGCAGCAACAGAGGCATTGGCAACTACATCCTCCGTCGTCTCGCAGAGTTTCCTCAAGGCACACGGCCTCACATCTTTGCTTCCAGTGGTGGAAATGCTGGCCTTGCTGCTGTTCACTCGGCTCGTGCCCTCAACCTACTATGCACTGTCGTTGTGCCTACCGCTACTGCACCCTTGATGGTAGCTAAGCTCAAGGCTGCGGGAGCATACGAAGTCATCCAACATGGTGCTGCTTGGAAGGATGCTGATGCATACTTGAAGGAGCACGTCATGCCCTATGTACGTCGTACACATCTCACATCACATGGCTTCACTGGACTAACACATCACGCAGGCACAAACAGAAACCATCTACTGCCCACCCTTTGACCACCCAGACATTTGGCAAGGCAACAGCACCTGCATGGCTGAGATTGCAGCCCAAATGCCCGGCGGCGAGGAACCCGACGTCCTCATCTGCTCTGTCGGTGGCGGTGGCCTCCTCAACGGCATCTGTCAAGCCATGGACTCCCTCAACATGACCAAGACCACCATCCTCGCCATGGAGACTGCCGGAGCCGAGAGTCTCCACGCAGCCATCCAAGCCAAGGAAGTCATCACCCTCCCCAAAATCACATCCCAAGCAACCAGCCTCGGTTGCGCCCGCGTCACAGACGCAACCTTCAAATACGCCCAACGCGGCAACGTCCGCAGCGTCGTACTCCCAGACGCCGAAGCCGCAATGGGCTGCTGGCGCCTCGCCGACGACGAGCGCATCATGGTTGAGCTCGCCTGCGGCATCAACGTTGCTCTCTGCTACGACGGCCGTCTCGAAAAAGCGCTTGGTCGCCCTGTCCGCCCCGAAGACAAGGTCGTCATTGTCCTCTGCGGCGGCAGCAATGTCAACAGCAGGATGTTGTGTGACTGGCGCAACGAGTATGCTTATATTGAAGAGGAGACTGAGGCTCGCAGGCGCAAGAGCGACTCTGCGCTTGGCAGTGAGACCACCAGCGAGACGGGGAGTGTAAAGGATCTTGACTTGGGCAAGGTGAGCGTGCCCAGTGAGCTTAGCAAGCCGTTTGCGATTGAGGGGATTGAGGTGGGGTGTGTAGAGTGCTCGTGAGAGCAGTGGAGCATTTCGGGTTTATCTTTATAGAAGGGGTCTTTGGCGTTTTGTTTGGACTTGGGTTAGCGTGGGATTGGGATTTAGTGCTGCTTAATGAAAGTCATTTTCATCTTTTTGAATTGAAAACTTCCTCGATCGATACTGCGTATGTCGTAGTCTTGTTTCTTATGAATCTACGTGCGGTGTGACAGGTATGGGAACAACTGCCAGTCAACGCGCAGTATACATCACGATGGTATCGAGATGACGCCGTTCCTAATCAAATTGCCTTTATTTAGAGCGACTCGAATGAGATTAGGCATTCTCCTCTAATAGTTTAGACTAGGTGAGCGAGACCGAACTTGAGTGTCCTCGGATTAGGAATTGCATAGTAACATGCTTCAGTGACGCTTACACTACGTTGCGATTACCCGTGTGACGCACCAACTATTGCGCTCTGACGATATGTCCGTGTAAGCAGCACCAATAGCCTCGATATCATCAAAACCGTCGTCGGAGATTCTGCCCTGCCTCAATCATCTCAATCCTTAATTTCCAATCCACAATGTCTCTACTTCGATCAACCACGCTGCGCGTAGCTTCCAGGCTCCACCCATTGCGAAATGCAGTCCAAGTCCAGGGTCGGACGTATGCCAGCGCGCGGGACCTACCCGCCAAAATGAACACCAGCAACGTCCCATGGTACGTTCAACTGTACCCTTGATATGTCAAATCAATAACATGTTCCTGCAGGATGGCAGCCGCCGCTGTGGGTACCGCTGGGGGTCTTTATCTCGTGACAAAGCAAGACACATCCCACACCGACAGCAAGCAAGCAAAAGCGCAACACGCCAACGTGGGTGAAATCACCTACAAAAACGAGGGCAACACCACGCCGTCAAAGGGTCAGAAAAAAAAATCCCAAACGCTCCCCGCTGAACTGAAGCTGAGCAGATCAAGCAGATGATGACTTTGCACCCGGCACTCAAAACGGCAAAAGTGGCGAAAAACTGGGCCAGAAAAAGATAGAAGAGAAACCGGATTCTAGTCAGCCTGGTGCTGGTCGTCCTGACCCCGACGAAGAAGGCGGTCTTGTAGGCCACGCGCCGCGCGATTCCAAAAAGTCTGGAGACGCAGGTGCTGTGACGCCTGATTTATACGACAAGGTTCGTCTACTTGTACTTACCTCTCCTTCTGCCCTCCTCTGAAGAACCTAACCTCTTTCACTATCTCTTTTTCTCTCATTTTCGGGTGTCAAGATTGCTAATATGAACAACAGCCCGATCCCCGCGGCAAACCAACAAGCATAAACCACATGTCTGGCAAACAAGAGGGCCTCTCGAATGCAGATACGCATCATACATCGCAGGTCTCGCACCAGCCCGAGAAGAGTAAGAAGGGCGAGGGTGTGGCGGAGACGGCGAAGCTGAAGGGAACTGTTTCGACAGATCGGCCGGGGCCGGAGAATAAGGAGGAGAGGGGGAAGGCGAGGATGGATAAGAATGCTTAAGTGACGTGTTTGACAGTTCAAAGTTCTGTTGGAATTAAATGTACAATACAATTCGCAAAGAGCAATAAAACCATATTGAATGTTTTTCCTTGGTCATCTTTTCACCTTCTCTCTCATCCTCCCCTCTTCACTATCTTACAAATACACTTTCCCCCGACCCACCCTACACACAAGCAATCTCACTCCCCACCAAACCAATCCACCCCCCTAACCAACCGATCACACACATACCCCGTAACCAGCGCATAAGCCCCCTTGTGCAGCACATCAACCACCTGTTCGTTAATCGGCCAGCTCCACGGCACCGCGCTCGTCCCCGCCGCCAACTCCACACCCTGATCCATCATCATCCTTACCCCCGTGTGTACAAACGCCGCAAACGGGCCAATCACCCCGTAATACGACATTATCGCCCTTACGGGCCCGGCCAGGATGCCCATGCCGAAGTGGTGCACGTGGTTGAGCAGGTCGGTGTTGCGTTGGTAGAAGGAGGCGCTGACGCCCAGGTGGTTGCCGATTGTGCGGGCTGGAACGTAGGAGTTGGGGCGGTGGGTGATGAGTTGTTCGAGTTTGTTGGTGCCGGACATGCTGGGGGAGGTTTGGTTAGTTTTGTTGGGGGGGGGTTGCGGTTTGGGGATGGGAGCGTACACGAGGGCACCGAGGAAGCCGGCGGAGAGACCGATGGCGACAGCGCGGCCGAAACTGACTCTGGGGACGGAGGGGTAGAGGGATTTTGCGTCTGGGTAGGAGACGGTGCCTCCGGGGTGGTGGTATTGTGGCATTTTTTCTTTCTTTAGGTATGGGGGATGTTTGGGTGGTGTTTTGGAGATTGAGAATGGGATTTGTGGTGTGTGAGAGAAAGAGAGAAAGAGTTAGTGTGTTAGTGTGAGGTATTCGATCTTACGTCGCGTGGTGGTAATGGAAACCCGGGCGATTCTTTCATTTTGACGTCACGCGGTGAAATTGAGGGGGACTTGGAATGTTTGCGACTGAGTGCATCCCGCTGCTCCAGAATAGCTGTTCGATATTGGCTTCCGTCATAGGAGCGTCACGATGGACTTTATTGCACGGCTGGTTTATACTGGCAGACAAATGATGATAAAAAGGGTTCCATAGATACTACATAGAAAATCTGGAATCTCGTCTTGGAACAACAACACAGAAAACTATCATGGCGGAAAACATTGCAGCAAAGCAGGCCGAAAGGGTCCTTGGCCATAACCAGCAGAGTACAACAACACAAGCCGATATCTCTAACCCGGACCGCGATGGCCAGAAGTATGCGGATCCGTCTGGCGGGAAGATGAAAGCCCTCGTGTGGATGGGAAAGAATGACGTGCGTGTTCGTATGCACACCCCATCGAAAATCCCCATGATGCTTCAACTGATGATTCCTGCATAGAGGAGGTCAGCAAGCCCAAGCTCCTCGAGGACCATGACGTGCTTGTGCGAGTCACCGGCTCAACTGTTTGCGGAAGCGACGTGCATCTCCTGCACGGCGTCATTATCCAGACGGAAAAGGGCGATATCCTCGGCCACGAATTCTGCGGTGTCGTCGAGCAAGTCGGGTCTAAAGTTACCGAGCGCAAAGTTGGAGATCGCGTTGTGAATAGCTTCGTCGTCTCGTGCGGTGAGTGTAGGTTTTGCAAGCAGAATCTTACGACGGCTTGCGAGAAGACGAATGCATCTACTGTCCATCAGATGCTGTATGGCGAGAAGATGGGGGGTATATTTGGGTATTCGCATTTCGTCGGCGGATATGCAGGTGGTCAGGCGGAGTATGTGAGGGTGCCGCTTGGTGATCAGAATCTTCTGAAGTTGCCTGACAGTGTTCCTTTTGAGAAGGGTAAGTTGCTTAGTTGGGTTTGCGAGTGGACGATGCTGATCGAAACAAGGTCTTTATCTCTCTGACGTACTCCCAACATCGTATCACAGCGTGTGTGATACAGGCGTCTTTGAAGGCGACAGCGTTGCTATCTGGGGGCTTGGGCCTATCGGCCTCATGGCGTGTGTGTGGGCATTCAAGAAGGGCGCGAAGCGCGTTATTGGCATCGACAACAATTGGCGCACTGAATTTGCAAAGCAAAAGATCCCGGGGCTGGAGACTATTAACTATCAAGAGCTCAAGAAGCAGTCCATTCCTGCCAAGATTCATGAGATGGTCCCCGGAGGTGTCGATGCTTGCATCGAGGCAAGCGGCGGAGAGTATGCAAAGACTTGGACACACAAGCTTGAGTTGATGTCTGGAATGGAACAGGACACATCTGAGATGATTAACGAGTGCATTTACTCAACCAGGAAGTTTGGCCGAGTCGGTATTATTGGAGATTACGTTGGATGTAAGTTCTCAAATCATAGTTCGACAGTGGACTTGAACTCACTGTGCTACAGTTACGAACCACTTCAATATCGGCGCGGTTATGGAACGCGGTATACGACTAATTGGATGCGGACAGTGTCCTGTTCAGAAATGTACGAATCTTATGTCGAAGTGTCTGGGCTTATTTACTGACGTACAACAGATTGGAAGGAAATTCTCGAGATGCTGGAAAAGGGTGAGGTCGATCCAACGTTCATGGTAACCCATCGACTCAAGATCGAGGACATTGCAAAGGCATACTACCTACAGGAGAAGCGCCAGGATGGCTTACTCAAATGTTTCGTTGAAACGAAGTTCTCAGAGCCGCGGGCTCCTGGCACCCCAGAGCTCAAGGAACTTTAGCGAACTGGATTTCTAGATGTGTAGTGTTTTCTAATTTATCTTTCAGAATGACGATATAATAAATTCCATAGCTGCTTACCTGCATTTCTCACAATGGTGCATGTGTGATTGCGACGCCTTCTACTTACGAACAAATGACATGTCCCCTTTTAGATTTCCTCACTTCATTTGTTAAATGATGCATGATTTGCTTGCTCAAAATCAAAGTTGGAAACACCCTCTTCCACTGTGTTCTCTCTCCGTATCCGTCGCTCCTTGCTGTCTTCGCTTCGTCTACTCACAGCTTCGCCCCTACCTTTCCGATCATTCTCAATCACAGCCACCTTATCTTCTCACGACCGAATAACTCCCCAAGACGGGGCACTGGTTCGGCTTGGAGCTATACGGCATCTGCCAAGATATCATAGTCATCGGCAAAGGTCTTACATGCGGCTGCCTCCCTGCTGTAGCCGTGATTTACCGCAACGACATTTGGAAAACGGCATTCAACAATGTCAGCACTAAGACGATGCTGTCCGATGTCTCGCAGCATGACTATACTTGGTCTAGACATCCAGTCTGCTCTGCTGTTGCTCTCCGCGCACTCGATATCATCGACATGGAGATGGTCCAGCAAGTGCGTGGAACTGGTATTATGATTGAGATCGATGTCATTTCTGACATCGCAACGAATATGGAGCAAAAGGTACTTCTAGGATATGGTATTGTGCTAAGGGCGAGTACAAAAAAGCATTGCCTGCTTCTGATACCGCCTTAATCGATGACGGATGAGCAATTTAAAAAGGTCGCCGAGCCGCTGAGGAAGGGTTTGAGAAGTTTTGCTACACTGGACGAGAGCGCGATAAGCAAGAGCTGTCAACGTTGAGTCGTGGGTAGGCCTGGCTTTTGGGTTAGTCAGGGAGACACTGACACTTGCGTAAGGCGGGATGCCCGCCAGGTTTCATTGTGTAAAGTTTAGCATGTGATTGTGGTAATTAGCTAATGATGTCACATCTAGTGAAATCACCCTGGCCTGTCACCGGTCAAACCTACTTTTCGGCTCTAGGCCCTGAAATTCATACAACGTTTCTGTCATTTATTCCACTTAGCCTTAAATTATTTCCTTCTCATTTTATTAACAATTTTAGTGGAAGTCTCATGATCTGGACGCGGCCTATGCAACTGAATGTTTGCCTTCCGTGAACCTCCGATCGGCACTCGCTCTTGATTGGCTACTTCAGAGCCGCTCCGTCTGACGACATACGATCTCTCCACCGTCAACGGCAGATTCAATCGTTACCGTAATAATATATTTTGAACATGGACAAAAATCCTGATCCCTGCGACAACTGTACGCCATTGGTTGCACCGCGTACCATAGTTCACCACAATGAACTCTATTTGCTCGAGTGGGAAACCTTATTCGATAACTGAGTACCCCCCGAAATTGCAGAGTTGGGATACCCTCACCACCGTGATATTCCATCTGCGGAAATCACTGAACGAACTTCTATGTGGGTACCCCCAAAATAGCAGATGAAACCAATGTATTTACTCCCAATGTCGACTCAGTTTTGCGCTCTATCACCGCGGGCGGTAGTACAATATGAAACAAACGAGATAGTCCTTACTTACTGCATGCTTACTTGGCGAATACAAGGAAGGGTCATTTTCTATACATGGCTAAGGAAGCACACAACCTCTGGAAGGGCCGATATTCTCGCCCGAAGCCCGCCCAACGTACTTATAACATGAGCGGGGGTGAAAACTTGAATTACAACTTGAATTGCCTCAACGGCAGCTTCAGCTCAACCGTAAGACAACTACGTCAAAAACAACAACAACAACAACAACAGTCTCTATATACGATTTGAAGCTTGAGGTTAATACACCATCATGCTGTTCAAACGGATATGTCCAGTGGCTTTGCTAGCAGTTCTCACATCTTCCTCCACAGTCGAACGAGCTACGGTAGATACGCTACCTCTCCTGACTGCAATATCCCAAGATCCAGAACTTTCTACTTTCTATAGCCTTTTCAATAGTACAGGAGGTACTAGCGGTATTCCTGGTCCACCGTTCGAAGAGCGCTTCAATGTCCTCGCGGATGGACGGAAGTACACGGCTTTTGCGCCCGTTAACTCTGTAAGTAGTGACAGTGGCGTATCTTAAACCCGATGGATCACTGATCGACACAGGCATTTGAGACGCTGCAACCGGGACTAGCAGCAGCTTTGACAGCACCAGCATCCTATGTGCTCCTCGAAGCCATTCTGAGAACTCACATCGCAGAAGGACTGGTGACAACAGAGGACGTCCACAATTCGGAAAAGCCCGTTATAAGCATCGAAGGAATACCTCTCAAGTTTGCGACTGAGGGTAACACCATCACGATCAACAACCAAGCCAAATTAGTTTCTGCACAGGGTACTGCTGTTGGAAACGGAGTAATCTTCAAAATCACCTCAATAATTGACCCCTTGGTATCCATTTTCGGGACCGACGTAAACAAGAACGGATCTGCCATCGCATCCGCCAGACGCCGACAAGCCAAGAAAATCTTAGAGTACGAGCTGCGACCTTCGGGAACCATCGCATCAGCCCTATCTTCTTTGCCAGATATCTCGACTTACGTAGGTCTCTTGAACGCAACATCCCCGGCTTTCGTCAGCTTTCTAGATTCGTCTTTGCCTGCTGGCAAGTACATTTCCATCTTCGCTCCGAGCAACGCGGCTCTTGCGGCTGTCGGGCAAAGCGTCAAAGCTATTCAGCCAAGTAATCAGCCGTTTACTTCGTACTTGCTTGAGTATCCGTTCATAAATACGTCGTTGGTTGGTAGTGAAAAGTCGATTGTTGGGTTTCCGGCGGCTGTGATGAGAGATGGCAATGGGGCTGTTACGAGCGTGAATAATGCGGCTGTGAAGGGAGAGCCGAAGTGCGTGGGAAATGCGTGCGTTTATGTTATTGATAGGTGGTTGGATCCTGTTTTTGGGTTGTTTTAGAGAAATAACATACGTAAGTGTTTTTTTGGAGTTTGAATGGGCAGTCGGCGTTCTGGTTTTGGACATGCTCTTTGCTTTGAAGCTTTAGTTTGGAGATTGATTATGTGGTAAAATGTCTTTTATTTTTTTCTATTGTGTAATGCAACTTGGAATTGATTGGACAAATGATATGTATTCAATTGTAACGCGAAATTGATAAGATTATCGAAAAGCAGCTCAAGCAACTCTCATGTGTTCACTAAGATGAAATAGCAGGTAAACGAGTCGGCGTGGAAGTTTCTTGACTGGATCTTCTTTTGAAAATGACTCGACTCTTTGACTGACTCACATCAAGGGCAAAATATACGTTCTTACCGTGGACGCACCTCTATGTCACTGGTCAAGATATCTGCCAACTGAAAAATGCTGAGACGTGATCTTAACAGTCTCCATTCGGTGGCTGCCATGCGCACTAATACCTAAGTTGCACAAGCTTTGCAAATGGTACAGGGTATACATTGCTATAAGGAAAGGTATCGTGCTGCCTAGACCACCCCTATCATACCAACTCAGCCATTTCTCTGATCGCATCCGCTATCTGCTTCATCAGCTGTCTCCCCCGAGGGAAATCGTGTCCGAATTCGTGATGAATTTCCTCTACATCAAACTGGTCACACAGCTCAACCAAATGTTTTCCATGATGCGGGTCAGCGTGATCTTCCGCCGTGCTTCTCACATGGAGAGTCGGAATCTCAATCAATGCAGGCTGCAACTTGTTTCGTTCCCACCGACACAATCCATAAGTACCGTCGGTCAGAAAAGCAGTCCCATCTGACATCATTTTCCCTTGTAGTCTGCTCAAGAGTCCGAGCAATTTCTTATGATCCACCTGATCTTCCTCACTGACACCAGGCTTGTGTCGTAGTGCGCTAGGTCGAAGAAACATCTCTTTTGCCTGTTGAAATGTTTGCGATACGTCAACGTGACCATTCACTGTGTCGACATCGTCGACTTCGAAGACACGTAATGGCGATGCGCCGTTCACGAACACGGCGAAGCGGAATAGAGGCTCGACAGCTGATTCAGAACGAGCAGCTTCAATGAGGAGCTCAGCTGCTAGTGCTGCTCCGCCAGAGTAGGCGAAAACACCATCGAAGGGACCATGGCTTCGTATGATGTGGAGTAACTCTTCATGAGTTTGTATGATAGATTGGGGGTCGAAAGGGTTGTAGTATGTGTATAGAGGGAGCTTAGAAAAGTCGGATGTGTGTAGAGACCAGTTTCCTGTTACAAGCATCGAACGTGTTAGTCATGCTCTTCCAGGCAGTAGTTTCATATTTCTTACCTTCAGTGTGGCGGACGGTGCCTTGAACGAAGACCCACTCAAAATCTTCTAGTACTGCACGGATAGGAGCCGTTTGCATGCGGAAAATCTGGGTATGTAATTAGAACGAGCAAGGTTTGTAAAGGAGTTTAACATCCTGCTAACCTCATTGTTAGAGCCTCGTCCATGGAGGCAAAGAATCTTCATGGTTAATCACCTGATTACAGAAAAGTGAAGTAGTAGACTGTTTGATGAGATTAGTGAGACAAAGGGAAAACTGATTAACTCAGCAAGCTGAGCAATGTGTGAGTTAACTACTGAACAAGTTGAGCACTGTACAATCCGAGCGGCGGGATATCCCGTGGAAGTAAGCCCTCTCAGGTTGCGTGGAAATTTACCACGTACTTTTTAAACCCTGCTCGGCGATAATTCCTAAACATGGGAAAAGACTCCATTTGTGGCGTCAGGGGTGACAGTTAATTCAGCTTGGCCATCGACCAGGGCTGAGTCGAGATAAGGTGGGTTGTATGTCTTGGGGTTGCCTCCACTTGCGTCTTGCCAGCTTTGCCCTGCTCCCCCAGATTTTCATAGAGACTGATTCACAAAATGGACTCCTGGAGCCATATACTGTGCTTCTTTTGGGAAAGTCCTAGAGAAATGCGATAAGGAAGACCCAGTCATACAACCTTGTGAATAGAAGGACATCATAGCGAGGGCGAGCATGCGGACACCAACTTCAACGCACTTCATACATCACTATTCATGACCTAAAATACAGATAAAAACTTATTTCTAAACTCTAAGCTATCGCACAGTTGCATGATGTGCTGATGTGAACTAATGCTTGTTCCTTCAAACGAATAGCTTCTCTGGTTCAAGCTCTTTTAGAGGAAGAAAAAAAACATTCCGATCCCACCTCCGACACCAACGAAGGATTCAGATCCCTCCTAGGGTGTGGAGATAACTTGCTCAAGATATTGAGCAATGACCATTGACGCTAGCTTTGTGTGGTACACCGACAGTGAACGGACCTAACTATTTGGTGCACCTCTTCTTGTGGGCAGTCACAGAAATCGACACGTTCCTTATGTGAAAATTCTTGGCTTCATTTTTACTAGATATGATGAACACGTGCGTCTATAGTTACTGTGGAGCCATTTTACTAGGGTGTTAGCGGCAGCCAGGGGGAAAATAGCACCAATGACACACCGTTTATCACTAAAGCAGAGAAATGTCGCAAATGCCCCGAATATATTGTTACTCTTGGCTCCGCTTCAAGCGCCTGTATAGGCCCGAATCGAGCCCCACAACCGATACCTACCGTTTATGGGTCAATCGCGTGGTGGCGCATCCATGCCTGCACTGCTACTGCACCCCTCCCACACCAGCAATACTGAAACTGGAGACCCCAGTTTCTCCCCACCACAGCTGACGTCGTATAAGGTTCTGCCGACAGGACGAAATGACACCTGACCAACGGTCGGGCACCAAATACTTAGCCCCTCACAAGCTTGGACTGAGAGGTCGGCAGTAAAGAAGCATGAATGCCATGAAAACTTGGAAATGCTGGAGTGTTGTGGCGATACAATTCTGACTCAGCATCAACGTGAATGAAGCTATTCAACGTGGAATGCATAGAAGATAGTTTCTCTAGTATCAAAACCCAATTTTGTTCAAAAGGAATATCAGTTACCCGTCATTTTTGCAGAGAAATTTCAGTTGAGGTTTTTTTTTTCAGTTCCAGATTCTCGGCTTCTGGCGGACGCTTGCGGGAGGGGGGAGGGGCTTACCAGCAGGTAAATACAGCCGAATATTCCGCAAGGCATCAGGTGCTACTAACATAAACGGGAAACATTCCACAATCGTTTTCCCGGGGTATTTAGTAGGCGGCAGTCCGACTACTGGATAGCCTTTTCAGGGATCTTGCAAAATATATTACATAGAATACGTATACTCCCATATGTCGTAAACGTCACCTATTTGGCCGCATGTGCAACAACAAAACGCCAGGCTCTATTCCCAAATCTCCACATTCACGATGCCACAAGATTTACGACCTTGGTGGCAAACTGCCATCGGTTATCAAATATGGCCGGCGTCTTTCAAAGATTCGAACAGTGATGGCATAGGCGATCTCAATGGAGTTCTCAGCAAGCTCGACTACCTCCGATCACTGGAAGTCGATCTCATCTGGTTTTCTCCTGTCTATGATTCGCCCAACAGAGACATGGGATATGATGTCTCTGATTACGAATCCATTCACCCACAGTATGGCACCATTGCCGACATGGAAAACCTCATCAAAGAGGCCAAGAAACGTAACATCAAAATTGTCATGGATATGGTCACAAATCATTCGTCTGACCAACACCGCTGGTTCTTGGAGAGTTGCAAATCTCGGTCAGGGCCATATAGTGACTTTTACATCTGGCGGGATCCAAAATACGATAGCGAAGGTAACCGACAACCACCAAATAATTGGCGCACTGGGTCACGATATGGAAAAAGTACATGGAAGTACGTCGAAGCAAGAGATCAGTACTATTTCTGCTTTGGAACTACTTATCAGCCTAACTTGAATTGGTTCTGCGACGATTTGAGACGCGCAATATACGACAGCGCGGTGAAATTTTGGTTGGACAGAGGTGTCGATGGGTTCAGGATGGATTTGGTCGGGTTATACTGGAAAGATCCAACCTTTCCTGATGCAAAAGAAGTTTATCCTGGAGAGGCGCTGCAACCGCTTGACGGATCGCGGTGTTTGAATGGCGAAGAAGTGCATGTCTGGTTAAAGGAGTTGAAGGAAAGAATCACGCAAGACTTTGGACAGGACATCGTGTTGATTGGGGAGCTCCCCTCGACTGACCGGGAGACATTCCTACGATACATATCTCCTGAATCGAGAGAACTAGAGATGGCTCTCGATACAGACATCTTCATCGTGGGAAATGAATGGACAGATGGTCTGTACGAGCTCAAAAAGCCAGAGCTACCGCTATTCAAAGATGCCGTCCTGAAGACGCAGAGCCTTCTTGACGATGGAGGCTGGCCTACTGCATTCCTCGAGAATCATGATTTCGCTCGCAGTGTATCCCGTTTTGGGCCAGGTGAGGGGACCTATCGCGAAGCTGCCGCAAGGATGCTTGCTCTCATGGCTGCAACACTTTCCGGAACCTTTTTCATCTACCAGGGTCAAGAAATTGGAATGACCAACGTCCCATCACATTGGAGGCGAGATGACTTCAAAGATAACGCCGACCTCGAACACATCGAAGATATTGATCCAATCAAAGACGCTGAGGCGGTGGAGAAATCCGTTGATGCGCTTACCACATGGGGGCGAGATAATGGAAGAACGCCAGTCCAGTGGTCAGACAAAGATCATGCCGGGTTTAGCGACGTGAAACCCTGGATTAGGGTCATCGACAACTACACTTACATAAACGTCGAAGAGCAACTTGGAAACCCGAACAGCATACGTTCTTTCTGGGTAAAGATGATGAAGATGAGGAAAGAGATGTATGATGTGTTAGCCTGCGGGCATTTTCGTCTCGTTGACAGGGACAACCTCAGTGTGTTCTCGTATACGAAAACAAGTGCTGATGGAAAGACCGAGATGCTAGTGGTATTGAACTTTTCGAGCGAGGAGGCTCGGGCTCCGAGGCAAATCGGGAAAGATCTAATGCATCTCGTTTGCACGACAGCTGCGATGTCGACGAAGACTAGCTTAGATGAAGTCACATTGCAGCCATGGGAGGGTCGCTTGTATCGACTGGCACCAAAGTTGTAGTGTTAGGGTAGTCTCATTCAACAAACTGACCATGCAAAGTGCAGCCTATAGAACACGCGATCATTCTACTAGACTAGTAGTGAGCGCTTCGTCCGTCCGAACATATCCCGGAAGTCAGGAATAGAACGCTAATATATATTAATCAATCGCATGAACATGCCATGTGCGATGATACGCTTCCGAGTTGACTACTATCCGAAACCTTAAAAGGAAACTACTACATCGGGTGCATTATCCGACTTCAAGCATTTTTTGCAAGGATCTGAATGGCTTAATGCCAACAAAGCTCGAAAGCCTAGTCTCATGTAGTACGTACGTCACAAAAACTAGCTCGCGTGCCTACAAGGGTCTCATGTATACCATTCGGGGAATGATCGAATGGTCCCGAGGTATTCGTATAGCTGTTCGGCCCGACTGGTAGTGGAGCCGGTAAAAGACGTTTCCTCCACACGTGAGCTACTCATAGCACCTAGTAGCGTCTTTGAGTCAGTACGCTGCATTAGACTCGCAAAAGCTCCGGGGATGCCATTCATCCCGTTTTTCTTGTCCCCATAATGTGCTCTCTTTTCGGCGGCAGCTGCGGAGCATTCAATCCCCAAGCAGACTGCTGCATCAAAATACAACTCAGCCAAGAGAATTCAGTATGTCGCCACTGAAGTAGTCGTTTTGAAAAAAAGATCCGTCTGGCCACGTCAGTCGAAGGTCGCTATTGTTACTGGGACCTGAAGCATCATTTTTCTGAGCTTTATCGGAAGCCAATAGAGGGTTCTCTTCGATTCATCATGAACAGCGTTTTGAATTTTCCAGAACTAGTCGGGGCCACCACGATCGCTAATTGGTATTGCTGCTTTCCATGAACGTCGACGGGCCGATGCATCTCGTGCACGCTTTGCATAACACCCTTTTTGTCATAGCTATCGGGCGATTGTATTGTCAACATTTGCCAAACAGCCTCGATGCGACGGGCTGCTTGTGGCGCCGCCTACACTGCTTTCAAGCACGCTCTGCTTGATTTGTCCCAACACACAGTGTGGATGTACGCTAGAAGTGATTTAAAGTGTAGTACAGTGCTTCTTAGGCTGACAAGTGGCACCACTTTCATCAAAATCAACTGGTAGGGAGATGGATTGAAGTGTGAGCGATGTCGGATATACGGAAACCGTTTGCTCAGTGTTTTAAGCCACCAAAATTTCAGATCCGTTGCAAAACCAGCATGTCTCTTTCCCATAAGGCTCCTGTCGCAACACCTATAGGCCCGCCTAAAACCATATACCACATGAGCCTCGTGCAAAATGACCCTAACGCCTCCTGTGGCTCGACCGCACTGCGAGCTTCAGCGTACAAGGCGACTGCCCAAACTGCGGAACTGAGTCCTCCAACTATACCGTCCCATTGAAGAAGCCATTTTCCTCCCTCAAAAGCATTTTTGCACTTCAAGTTGCTCCATGGAGAAGGTGGTATGAATATACTGGAAAGCTGGAGATTCTTGTAGCTAGACGGACGTGCTTTGCGGATCCGATGCAATGCACGGATGGTCAAGGAGACAAGGATCGGACCCCAAACTGAGATGACAGCCATGGTGAAGGCTAGAACGTAAACTGGCCTGACTGTGGATAATGAGGTCTTGGAATCTTCGTCTTCAAATCTGCCCATCGATCCTGTATGGGTCCATAATGTCACCAGCAGAGCATGGACCAAACTAATGTAAAGATGCCACTGCTGATAGAACGATGCGAGCGTGTGTTGTGTGTTAAGATTATAAATGGTCACTCCAGGCAGCGCCATGAGAGATATTGGCAGGATATAACCTAATAAGAAGCTCCAGGGAATCGCATGGACGTGGATGGCATCAATCATCAGACTTTCTTCTGTGGTCGCCGGAACTGCAACGATTAATCTGATTGCCAGGTAAAGAGAAGTAAATATAGCGTGTGACTGATTGAAGATGAAGAGTCCCGGGATTGCGATCCTGCAATGATTAGCACAGCATATTAAGGACCAGGTGCATACTCTTTCTCCTTACCAAGACATCAGTCGGCTTCGACTGTACTCCCTGAAACTCTCCAATACAATCAGAATCCACGAAGGACCCCATGATAGATCAAACCAGAAGCCTACAAGATTCACATCTAGCTCTGAGTAATCTTCACAAGAGAGTAAAAGGAACGTCGCAACCGCATTGAGTTGAAGATCGATCCGTGGGAAACGGCCGCCAGTGGTCAAATTACGTAGAGGTTTTCCTGCCGGGGTGGACTTATTCGTGATTATGCGCTCCAGGTGTCCTAACAATCCATTGGACGTCGCGAAGAGGTGTAACGATTTGAAGCCGAGAACGGCGAGAAGCATGCAAAATATTGCCGCAATAAATTGCATGTTTGAGCCAAGCGACGAATGGCGATCGGAGAAATAACATCCAGATAATAACTTAATATGTATTCTGGGGTTCGCGAAGCTCCTTATATGAGAGGTTTACCGCGGCAACACGGAATAAATACCAGTGCACGTCACGTGGGTAGATCGTCAACTTCACTTATGTAGAGAAGCAAGGGTAAGGCTGGGCAATCCGTTGACCCTGCATTTGTTATCCAGCTGCTTCCGGCACTACAGATTGTACCTGGTCAGCGGTTCAGCTAGGCTTGCCGGAAAGGCGCGTCTTACGGACATCTGGACTCCACTTTTTTAACTTTGATAATGCGGAACATCAATGTTGTAAACTTGTCGTCCAAAATCCTATTGCAAAAAGCTGTTCAAAATTTTCCTTCTATTCTCAATTTTGTGAGAAAGAACACATGACAATTTTGTCAATCTATCATGGTACTGAACAAAGTATGTAATAAAATTAAAACGATCGGGATGGGAAATTTCTAGATCTTCTCTCTTCGCTTTATCCAGACTGGAACGTCCTTCTTTGGTGCCATGACACCAATACTTCTGGAATTGAATTCCCACTGATTCTCCGAGAGAGTTTCTTCAAATTTCATGTCGAGCATCTCCAGCAAAACACTCACAACGCCAACAATCTCCATCTCCGCCACAAATCTCCCCGAACACAAACTTGTGCCCCCTCCGAAGGGGCGCATTACCATATTCTGCCGTTTCAATGCCTCTTCATCTACATCTAGCCATCGATCTGGTTGGAACTTCTTTGCTTCTGGGAATTCCACACCAGAATGCATTAAATGTACTGGCATCAAAATGACAGACCCTGCTCGAAGAAGATAACCTTCGAGGGTGGTTTCCCGTGTTATAACTCGTGCGGCTGCAGATATGGTTCCTAGACGCAATGCTTCCAGCCAGAGAGATTGAACAAACGGGTTTTTGATGAGAGCTGGGAGATCAAAATGAGGCGTTGAAGCCGAGCCTGAGAGGATTGAGGGAGAAAGCAAGAAAGGTGTGGCGGCGTCACGGTACTCGGCAAGACGAGACGGGTTGCATGCAGCACAGTATGCAAACCAAGTGGCCATTGGAGCAGCGTTGGTTACGATCCTGTTTCGATCTTTAGCACTTTATCCAGCCTGAGGATAGCTTCCATATACTTACACAAAAAGAAAGCTTGCTTGCAAGCATGCCCTTCCTCTTTTCGTAAAGCCAGATTGCCTGCCCAGTACGTCCCTCTCCCAATTCATACGGAGACCCCATTTCTCACACCACACATTATCAGTGTCTTCCCACTCATCGTTTCCAGCAGCATCTAGCCAGCGCTCAAATGCTTGGAACATCCTCTCACGTGCTCTGTGGGTCTTGGGCTGTAATTTGAATGCCAAATTCGATCGCACACCAATGTATGTGGCATCATCAAATCTTCTCCAGTCATCCCACATATTGGGCCAGAATTGTATCAAATGAGGACCAAAAAATGTCTGTACACTGGTCTCAAAGATGATTTTCCTAAGAAATGGGTACAAGCTCTTTTTCTGCCACTTGTCGTTCGAAAGATCGATATTTGACTCCAGAACAGTAGGCAGCACCGACATGTAGATTTTCATAATGTCATGCAGGCGCTTCCCCGAAAGATTACGTGTCCAAATATTGTGGTTTTCGGTAAGGAATTTTCCATCTTTTCCTTCTGCTGTCGATGAGACGAATTTGGGTCGATCCGGAGGTGGAAGATCAACAGCATTTTCCATCATGCTTGCCATGACGGGCTCAAAAGTGAACAACCGAGAGCGACTGAAGACATAGCTGACAGATTCAGGAGAGTAAAAAACATAAAACTTTGTCCCAGCTAGTAGGAGAGTGAAGGGTTTCCCTGAGAAGTATTCTCGGCCACGTTCATAAAGACTCGCCGGGTCTAGAAGGAATGCAGGCAGGTGCTGGAAGTATGGAATCCAGTAAGGCAGTAAAGGTGGCTCAGATCCTTCGTGTCCTGATCTTTGGAAGCTGTAGATGTAGGAGACGGAGTAGGTGAAAAGGATTGTCGCCACGATCGGTCCTATGATGAGAGAAAGTAACCAAGGTAAATCTTTCAAAAGTTGCCAATGGATTTCGAGGACCATAATGTTAATATAGTTGTGTGAACTATGTGAGATGTTAGGAGGTTGCTCTATGGGCTGATTTTACCGCTCCCAAAAAATTCCTCTAGAGACTCATTTGTGTCCCTTTACTCTCAAATCATGCTCTCATCTCTGAGATGTAGGTTGGACAAGAGGTACAACAGCCGGCCCGTTTTTTCCCAACAATGCGGGAGGATTGATACTTGTTAGGGTTTTGGTTTTCGGTTTCCATTTTGATCTCATTTTGGGTTTAGAGCTTCAACAGGGGAGTTTTAGCTAGCGTCACGGCTAGTCCTATCTGGTATAGGATAGAAAACGGACAGGCTGTTTAATTAGAGCGCTATTTCATAGCCACGTAAATGTCTAGATCTAGTACACTAACTTAGTGAAAGGGCGGTATCGAAATCTAGCTCCGGGTCTAGGGGCTTAGCTAATAGAAAACGGCGCTGAGCCGAGCAGGCCCTTGAACAAGATGCGGAGGATAGGTCATTTGGCGCTATCAACTAGGTATGTGTGTAGAATTTGCCAACGGATACCCTGGACAGAACTGATCAGCTGTTGCGTAACCATGCAGGGTTTTTTTTTGGAAATCGGACCGCACGGCCAAATTTGAAGTGGAGTGCAGCGACCTGGGATAAGTTTTGCAGTAGCGCCTATGCACGCAGGGGCCTGTTACATCTCCTTTGAGCTGTTCCTAATAAAGTTGTAGGATTAAAATTCTGGCGATCTTAAAAATCGTTCACAAAAGCAAACACTTAGAACATCTCCGATATCGCTTCTGTAGTTCAGATGTATTCCACCAAAGAGGGAACTATCAAATTTAATGACCCAATTGTTTTTCTTCCGGGCATAACTTTCTGAGCCCAGTCATGTATTCTACCGTTGAGCATGTTAGTGATGCTATGCTAGAATGCGCTATCCTCCGCGCATTCTTGGCTAAATTTTGATATGCCCCTCTATCCAATTAATTCACCCGCTAAGGCTTCAGCTTACCTCCCTAGCGCTGTCATACCAGCAAAACAGAGGTTAGAATACGAAATAAGACATACCCTGGACGACTCCCATCACCGGACCCAGTCCCCTACTTTTCTCGGCTGTACTGAAGAGCTTACATCGAGTCATTGTATAGGCTTCAAGGATGTAGATATTCGGAGGTGATCTTCGATTGGACTGTGTTAGATCGGTTAATATAGTAATTGGTGGTAACGGCGGATACTATGAAAATCAAGCATGTATCAAAGCTAGGAGAATGGACAGTTTTGGAAAGTTTAGCGTGTAAGCTCTTTTATAAACAACATTCCAATGCATCAAGTGCGCCATTTCTTCACTTCAAGATACTATATCCAAAATGCCTGTGTCATTTGTTGAGCCTGCTTCAGCAGCAGAGCCTTTAGCCATTGTTGGCCTTGCAACCCGCTTCCCGCAAGAAGCTTATAACACAGAACAGCTATGGCAGTTTTTACTGGCGAAGCGATGTGCTCATACACCAATTCCCGAAGGCCGAATGGGCCCAGGACATTACCATCCTGATCCTGAACATGGCGGCACACATGCTGTCGCAGGTACGATACACATAATCCGTATATCGATGAGCACCAATAGCTGACCAATGTATTTTGCATTTCCCAGGGGGTCACTTTCTTGCTGAAGACCCAGCATACTTCGACTCTTCCTTTTTTGGAATCACAAAAGGCGAAGCCATGTCACTGGATCCTCAACAACGCGTGGTACTGGAAAATGTGTACCTTGCTCTTGAAAACAGCGGTTTTACATTGGAGCAAGTCGCAGGATCCAATACTTCAGTTTACGTTTCTGGCTTCAACCACGACCACCTTGCCATCCTGAACAGCGATCCAGAGACAACGCTGAGACATCGGGTTACTGGCCTTACCAACTCAATGCACAGCAATCGTGTCTCGTGGTTTTTCGACCTAAAAGGGCCAAGTGTGACTATCGATACAGCGTGCTCTAGCTCCATGGCTGCTTTACATCTTGGTAGCCAAAGTCTACGAACGGGGGAGAGCGATATGTCTATAATTACTGGAGTAACAATTCTCAATTACCCTGGTTAGTCACAGCTACGATAACTTTGTTTCATAATCACTAACCATCATGTCTTCTTGAAGGGGATGTTAATGGGATGTCGCATCAAGGTTTCCTCAGTCCTGATGGTCGATGTTTCAGTTTCGACCACCGCGCCAATGGCTTTGCTCGTGGAGAAGGAGCAGGCACGGTAATTGTGAAGCGTCTCAGCGATGCCCTTCGCAATGGTGATACTATCCGAGCAGTCGTTCGTGGCACAGGTATCAACCAAGATGGCCGTACTCCAGGCTTAACTCTTCCCAGTAGCGACGCACAAGAAAGATTGATAAGAACCACATACGCATCTGCCGGGCTAAACTTTGACGACACCACATTAGTAGAAGCACATGGTACTGGCACAAAACAAGGAGATGCGATTGAAGCCCGCGGAATTGCACAGGCATTCAAATCGAGACGAAAAGATAAACCGCTTTATCTAGGTTCGGTAAAAGCGAGTGTAGGCCACTTGGAAGGTGCCGCTGGTGTTGCAGGGTATGTCATCTCCCAACGGACCTCTCCTTAAATCAAAATTAGCAGAAAGAACACAGCTAACCATTTCATGAATAGAATAATCAAAAGTGTGCTGGCACTAGAGAATGGCGTCATTCCGCCACAAGCCAATTTCGAAAAGGCAAACCCCAAGATTCCCTTCCAGAAATGGAATCTTTCTATTGCCGATAAGGCTGTTCCATGGCCTACACAAGGTCTCCGCCGAGTGTCAATCAACTCTTTCGGTGTAGGAGGAACTAATGCACATGCTATCCTGGATGATGCTTACCACTACCTGAGAGATCATGAGCTAACTGGAAATCACCGTACGGCAATTGAGGCACCTTCCATGGAGAAGATTGATTCTTTGAGCCGGGCTGCGGAAGCTCTTATAGCC